AGTGACGAACGCAACTGCCTAGACATTGAACCATGATATGCCTTGACAAAACCCCGTACGACTCCAGTTTCGCCGATAGTTCTTCACAATTAGTGCGAGATGAGCAATACACGAGTGAACATGGTAGTGGTTTAACTATATCAACAATATAGGCTACTGTTTTGGATGACTTATTCTGGATCAAGTATGACAGGTTAGGTCGATGAAAATCAGATGTAATTAGTTCTACGTTTTTCAATTCAAGAACAGTTAACACTTCACAAATAACTTTAGCTGTTGCTGTGGCAGTTAGCATTAAAACTGGTGTTTTGGGGTAGTAAATACCAAGTGATTTAAGGTCTAGGTAAGATGGCCTAAAATCATGACCCCATTGGCTAACACAATGAGCTTCATCAATCACAAACTGCTGAATGGCTCCAACTGAATATAAAGAAAGTAGAATATGATGTAGCATTTTATCACTTGCAAGTAATTCAGGTGTAGTACAACACTTTAAATGGGCATTGTAACTGTTTGAGACCAGAATATACTTTCTGCCTTTCTGTATTTGTCATTTCCCCCAAGATAAAAGCTGAGTTGATACTGAGGGAAATACATCTAGAAATTTGATCTTCAATAAGTGATCTGAGTGGTGAAATAATAACTGATATACCAGGTAGTGCCATGGCTATCAAGAGATATATTAAAGATTTCCCAGCTCCAGTTGGCATCACAACAAATGTGTTCTTTTTTGCTAAGCAAGAATTAATAGCTTGCTGTTGTTTCATTTGAAAGGATGAATATCCAAAGACTGCTTTCATAAGAGGAAGTAACTGTTCTGCCTCTTTGACAGGCATTGTAAGTTGTTTAAGAACTGTTTCTATATTTGCCATACACGACTCTGAGCTGATACATACTGATGAAAACCGGTCATTTTGACAGTCAACATCGGCACTTTTTTCCCTAGGTAAGTCAACATCACTGTTTGTAGCAATATCTGAGAGTCCTATGTTGCTTTCAAACCAGTCTAGGCTAATAGTTGTTCTTTTTGTTTGTATTTTAGGGAGATCTTTATGACGTTGCTCATCAAATTCTTTCCAAACTTCATAAACTACGGTCTCACTGGGACCTTTGACAGTAACTTCTTTATATGGTTTTTCAGAAAATGGTTTCAATTTCCCTTGTTCTAATAATATGCATGCAACTTTCAATGCAGCTAGTTCTGTGTTTGTAGCCTTAAGTTGAAAATCTTGTCCACATGAATTCAAATAGTAGATTTGACCATCAACCTTTATAATACAATTAATATATAATTAAATATACAATTAAATATATATATATATATATATATATATACATACATATATATATTATAAGTACATGTAGATTATATTTATAAATAATTGTAATTGAGTAATTTGAAATACAAATGCAGGGGTGGAAAAAGTATTTGACCATTGGTCCCAGTTGCCAGGAAATATTTCCAAGATACTGTAATTAAAGCAATTTGATTAAATTTGGAACTAGAGAATGATGTAACATTTATGTGGCAAATACATTTTCAGCCAATTTGAAACACCAGATTTTTTGGGTGCTCTGATTTTTTGGGTCCTTCTGGGTAGTACCCATTTTCTTTCCATCTGTAAATTTACCTTATAAAATCATCCCATGTTGTGAGTTATTAGTTTTATCTTATAAATAAACAGCTAATCCAATTAATTAAGATTGTCCTACCAAAACATTGAACGTGAAATTATTAGCATGCAAGGCAAATATGCGCTATATGAGATAAATAAGCCTTTAAACTCAGACAATTTCAAAAAAATTTTTAGTTGCAAGGCTTGGATATACATCTTATGAATAAGCAATATTCCATTGCATGCTTAATTAAACATTAGTTTAATTAATGACATTGTAAAATTCTTATAGCTCTCTTCCTTAAGATATTCATTTTAGTTTGATATGCAAATATCATCAAATATAATCAAATTAAATGTTCAATGTAAAGTGGACATGTTTTTGATCACGTAAAAAGTTGATACTACATGATAGTATATACTTATAATCTTTTATATTTGACAGCTGTCATTATTTTTTTTGTCCCTCCAAACAATACCAGAACGCACTGTAAAATGTTATGGGAGAAAGCTAATTATAGGAGTCCAGCCCCGACCATAAAGGATTTAATTTGTTTAAGAATTATTATAAATTATAATATTATAAACTATCAGCATACCTATATTTCATAAACAATTTCTTGCCTTTATAGGCATATTCCCAAATACGGACAAAACAGCATTAAAAGCAAATCAATTTTTCTAGACAAAATTTTCAGATTCATCTTTTTTATATTATAAGTATTAATACATGAAAATCTGATATCATAATACTCACTATTTCAGAACTTGAAATCATAATTTTTTCGAGCATTCTATTTCCGCGCCTTCTCCATCGTTCCTCTATTGCATCTTGCAAACTGCATTGTTCCCCTTCATGAGCAACTGCATAGTGTTGTTCTAGTTTTTTGTACCACTTACTCGAATTGGAACAAGCAGAATGAGGACACGGAAACAACGTGTACTCTTTACTCTCTTGATAGATATTTGCATCCGCCATACTGGTTTTGAAATCTACTAGGCTTTCCCCGGCATCAATATCTGTGACGTCATCAAACGAATTTTGCTCCGTGCCGTGGAAAAGCCTAGTGTCTAGGCTGGCATAGCATGACTAAATTGTCGAGCTGGCTACGCCGCTGAGATTTAACGTAAGCTAGGTTTTGAAAGGGCAACCGTGATTGAATTAGCCGTATATAATAGTGAGCTTAAGCAAGTGACGTTTTTGACATCACAAACGGCATGAGTAACGCCAAAAGACTGGGTCAAGAATTGTGATTGGTGAAAAATAAAAACTTTACTTCCGGTCAACGTACGTGTTGTCAAAAACGTCACTTGCTTAAGCTCACTATTATTACCTATAAACATCTCACATTCACACAGCCTAGACACTAGGCTTTTCCACGGCACGGAGCAAAATTCGTTTGATGACGTCACAGATATTGATGCCGGGGAAAGCCTAGTAGATTTCAAAACCAGTATGGCGGATGCAAATATCTATCAAGAGAGTAAAGAGTACACGTTGTTTCCGTGTCCTCATTCTGCTTGTTCCAATTCGAGTAAGTGGTACAAAAAACTAGAACAACACTATGCAGTTGCTCATGAAGGGGAACAATGCAGTTTGCAAGATGCAATAGAGGAACGATGGAGAAGGCGCGGAAATAGAATGCTTGAAAAAATTATGATTTCAAGTTCTGAAATAGTGAGTATTATGATATCAGATTTTCATGTATTAATACTTATAATATAAAAAAGATGAATCTGAAAATTTTGTCTAGAAAAATTGATTTGCTTTTAATGCTGTTTTGTCCGTATTTGGGAATATGCCTATAAAGGCAAGAAATTGTTTATGAAATATAGGTATGCTGATAGTTTATATATTAATTTATAATAATTCTTAAACAAATTAAATCCTTTATGGTCGGGGCTGGACTCTATAATTAGCTTTCTCCCATAACATTTTACAGTGCGTTCTGGTATTGTTTGGAGGGACAAAAAAAATAATGACAGCTGTCAAATATAAAAGATTATAAGTATATACTATCATGTAGTATCAACTTTTTACGTGATCAAAAACATGTCCACTTTACATTGAACATTTAATTTGATTATATTTGATGATATTTGCATATCAAACTAAAATGAATATCTTAAGGAAGAGAGCTATAAGAATTTTACAATGTCATTAATTAAACTAATGTTTAATTAAGCATGCAATGGAATATTGCTTATTCATAAGATGTATATCCAAGCCTTGCAACTAAAAATTTTTTTGAAATTGTCTGAGTTTAAAGGCTTATTTATCTCATATAGCGCATATTTGCCTTGCATGCTAATAATTTCACGTTCAATGTTTTGGTAGGACAATCTTAATTAATTGGATTAGCTGTTTATATTATAAGATAAAACTAATAACTCACAACATGGGATGATTTTATAAGGTAAATTTACAGATGGAAAGAAAATGGGTACTACCCAGAAGGACCCAAAAAATCAGAGCACCCAAAAAATCTGGTGTTTCAAATTGGCTGAAAATGTATTTGCCACATAAATGTTACATCATTCTCTAGTTCAAATTTAATCAAATTGCTTTAATTACAGTATCTTGGAAATATTTCCTGGCAACTGGGACCAATGGTCAAATACTTTTTCCACCCCTGCATTTGTATTTCAAATTACTCAATTACAATTATTTATAAATATAATCTACATGTACTTATAATATATATATGTATGTATATATATATATATATATATATATATATATTTAATTGTATATTTAATTATATATTAATTGTATTATAAAGGTTGATGGTCAAATCTACTATTTGAATTCATTGGACAAGATTTTCAACTTAAGGCTACAAACACAGAACTAGCTGCATTGAAAGTTGCATGCATATTATTAGAACAAGGGAAATTGAAACCATTTTCTGAAAAACCATATAAAGAAGTTACTGTCAAAGGTCCCAGTGAGACCGTAGTTTATGAAGTTTGGAAAGAATTTGATGAGCAACGTCATAAAGATCTCCCTAAAATACAAACAAAAAGAACAACTATTAGCCTAGACTGGTTTGAAAGCAACATAGGACTCTCAGATATTGCTACAAACAGTGATGTTGACTTACCTAGGGAAAAAAGTGCCGATGTTGACTGTCAAAATGACCGGTTTTCATCAGTATGTATCAGCTCAGAGTCGTGTATGGCAAATATAGAAACAGTTCTTAAACAACTTACAATGCCTGTCAAAGAGGCAGAACAGTTACTTCCTCTTATGAAAGCAGTCTTTGGATATTCATCCTTTCAAATGAAACAACAGCAAGCTATTAATTCTTGCTTAGCAAAAAGAACACATTTGTTGTGATGCCAACTGGAGCTGGGAAATCTTTAATATATCTCTTGATAGCCATGGCACTACCTGGTATATCAGTTATTATTTCACCACTCAGATCACTTATTGAAGATCAAATTTCTAGATGTATTTCCCTCAGTATCAACTCAGCTTTTATCTTGGGGGAAATGACAAATACAGAAAGGCAGAAAGTATATTCTGGTCTCAAACAGTTACAATGCCCATTTAAAGTGTTGTATACTACACCTGAATTACTTGCAAGTGATAAAATGCTACATCATATTCTACTTTCTTTATATTCAGTTGGAGCCATTCAGCAGTTTGTGATTGATGAAGCTCATTGTGTTAGCCAATGGGGTCATGATTTTAGGCCATCTTACCTAGACCTTAAATCACTTGGTATTTACTACCCCAAAACACCAGTTTTAATGCTAACTGCCACAGCAACAGCTAAAGTTATTTGTGAAGTGTTAACTGTTCTTGAATTGAAAAACGTAGAACTAATTACATCTGATTTTCATCGACCTAACCTGTCATACTTGATCCAGAATAAGTCATCCAAAACAGTAGCCTATATTGTTGATATAGTTAAACCACTACCATGTTCACTCGTGTATTGCTCATCTCGCACTAATTGTGAAGAACTATCGGCGAAACTGGAGTCGTACGGGGTTTTGTCAAAGGCATATCATGGTTCAATGTCTAGGCAGTTGCGTTCGTCACTCCAGGATAAATGGATGACCGGAGACCTGCAGGTTCTCTGTTGCACAAGTGCCTTTGGTATGGGGGTGGACAAACCAAATGTACGTGCTGTTATTCATTACTCACTCCCTGCATCTATGGAAGATTACTACCAACAAATTGGACGTGGTGGACGTGATGGCCTACCTTGCCAATGTGTACTGTATTTCAGTGCAAATGATCAAATATGTCATGTACAGCGTATTTTTACAAAATGGAAAACGGACAGTAAAGCTTTAAGTGCAAGACTTAGTAACTTTCAAGCCTTCATGAACTATTGTCTGAATAAACATCTTTGTAGAAAATATGTTCTTGTGAACTACTTTGGACAGCCTTTCACAAAAGTGCGATAATCAGTGTGACGTTTGCACAACCCCATGTAACGTTCAGGAGTTCGACATTACTAATCATACATTATCAGTTGGTAATTGCATCCAAAAGCTAAAAAACGATTTTAATGGGAAGAGGTTAACAGTTAAACAGCTTGCAAACATTATCACTGGTAAGAAAACCTCAGAAATAATCAAGAAAAAGTACAATGAATTACCTGGTTATGGCTGCTTCATGGAAACATCAGAGCAAGGAGAACTCCTGTTACGCAGACTTATAGTGGGAGACATTCTTAGAGAAATCCCCAATGATGTGAATCCAAGAAATGCTTTGTATGTTGACCTCGGATCGAAGTTCATGGCTATTTTAAACAATGAAAACAGGATAACATTTTTCAAGGTTGATAAAATGCGTAAGGCATAGTTCAAAGGTCGCGCTATTGCTGTGTCCAAATTTAATAAAAACAATATACAATCTATTATATCTAATGCGTTCGGCAAATTTGAAACAGGCTGAAACTTATTTAGTTATTAACTCACAAATTATTATAATATATTTCATAATCATTAAAAAAGGACTTTATACCTATTGTCCTACCTGCATGTATATACTCTTTTTTATGAAGATCAATCGTTAGTATTGTTATTTTCAGTGAAATTCGCAAATGTTTGTGTAGGAAATTGTCTATATATCATTTCGTGGAAATTGGTTTTTATTTGCTTATGCCCTCTTTCTTCCACATTTAAGCATTCTTTTGGAATAGCATAAAGGTCCGTTAGATTCTTTTGGCCATGTGGGTACAGTTTAACTTCCTTTCTTTTTTCGTTAGTCAGCCATTTATGATGTATTGCAAACCATGCTACTTTAATCCAATCTGGTGTTGGGTCAGGAACTGATGATTTCCCTCCTGCGTTGATTTCAAAGCTCTTTTGGTAGATTGATTTGACATGTTCAAGTAGCTCAATGTTCATGCATATCTTCTGTAGCATTTCAATGGTTGTTTGTTTGCGACCGTATAGCTTCACTGGCTTCACAACAAATGTCTCCATGTACTCATCGATTGCAAAGTTATGTCCGTCTTTTCCTTTAGCATTCACACTGCAGTTACGGCGGAACATTTCTCGGTACGCTAAGGGCCAAAGTGATGTGAAATTTACTACATGCACTAAACTTTCAGTTTTGTAGTTCTTTTTGTTGAATGCTGCAAAAATAGGTGTTAACTCTATCCAACAAGCCTCCCTTGCTTTTCCATTATTCATTCTGACTGCTTGGTGTAGTTTGAACAAGAGAGGTCCAAATTTAGTTAGAAACAAATAAAAATATTCAAACGTGCTGTCAGCTGTTCTGTTATAATCGAACCAATCTTTGAGGCACTTCAGCATAAACCTGCTGTAGTCCTCGTTTTTTTTCGTGTACTCTTCAAGTACAGATGCCGGTGGAAAGAAACCCGATGATTGAAATTCCTTAACACAGGCTATCATAACTCCCCAATAGAAATCGTTAATAGTGTTGTAGTTTCTTTGAAAATTGCCGTGATTAAAAATGTCCTCAAAAGATTTTGGTGTTACTTTTACCCTGTTTAAAACTTGCTTTGCGACATGGTAAAATCCACCAGGTCCCATTATTCTTGCTATGCACTGCATAATATATCCTTGTGTGTGGAAATCACCCGGTGCCTCTTTAAAAGAGCCAAATTCATCAGGGGACCGGTTTCTTACTCCTCTAATAGTCATGGTAGTTTTAACATCTCCAACAGTTATAACGTGGTCTCTTAAGGAACGTTGCGCTGTTGTTGTATCTTCCGCCATTGAGGGAGTGTCAGTTTGCTCTAAAAGTTGTTCAGAACTGTCAACACGTTCTTCAAGTAATTCAAAAATTGAGTTCATTTTGTCATTCTTTTCTTTAATTTGATTAGTTAAGAGATTGTAAATTGTTTCGTCTTCTATTGATTCAGCAAACTGTAGTGGTGATGGTATGTTTCCAGAAAATGTGCCGTCACATCTTGCACCATATCTATATCATGTGCAAAAAAATGTAATTAACGTATTAGTAAATTCAAAGGTATTCACGCATTAGTAAATTCAAAGGTAAAATGGTCTCGTTTTCATGTTATTTCCTTATATTTTGTGAAAAAATGCAGCTAATAAAAAGCTTGTACTTAGCCTGACGATTGAAGATAAACATTTGTGCCTGAAATAATGGGATATAACTTTCCTGTACTCCATGAATGATATAAACGGGAAATATGAAAGCGAAGTCGTTGGCCAAAATTGTATCAACGGTAAGGTTTAATTAACAATATACCCCGTACTTCTTTTTTACGTTGACGAAAACGGATGCGCAATTTTGTTATCTATATGCATGCTAATCCACAATTTTATATATAGGTTAATTACAAAAATACATTTGGTAAAACAAGTTTCGATCGTCTTAATAGGTTAATTACAAAGTTGAACTTGTCTCGGACGTCCACCTCAAGCATTATGGCAATATGTTCAAGACTTCAAGTCACTTACCTGATTAATATCTTGACCAAATTGACATCGTTGTTATTTATTGCAATCATTAAGGGGGTTATTCCGCATCCTTCTGGATTGTTAACTGGAGCTCCAGCAAGTAGGAGAGCTTCTACCAGCTTTTCATTGCCATTACCGACAGCCATGTGAAGAAGGTTGCATTCATATGCATCTACTAATCCTATCCACTGTGAATCATGCAGCTTAATTGCAGAGTATGCATTTTGGAGATTCTTATCTTTAACTAATAACTCCATTTCCTTCAACAGATTTGACATGTGGCATGAAATTTGTTTCATTTTTGTTTTGAAAGTTGATGCTGAATTTTCGGATTGTGCATTGCACAGATTATCTTGGGGGTCATCACTGTCGCTATCCTCAGCATGAAGAAAAGATCGACGCGACTCAAATTGTTTTTTCAATAATATCATGTCCTTCTGGTGTTGCTCCATTTCTTTGTAGAAAATATCTTTCCCTTGCTGCTTTAATATCAAATTTTTTTGTTCTTTATTAAATACGATGTATTCTACATTCTTCGAGCTTTCAATGTTCAAATCTTTAGCAAATTCTTTTAGAACATTAGCAGTACCACATGTTTGTACCTCATCTTCCAAAGATAAAGGCAATATCATGACTTTTGTCTTAATACTTGAATTTTCAGGATATTCCGGTTTTACACTTGGCACAGATATTTTAATATCACTTTTACCTTTATATTGCTCTTCCTTAAGATAGTCCATTATATTTTTTTCGCACATGCTTAAAAGTTGTGCCTTGCTTCGATTTATTGTTAGGCCTAATTTTAAACCTTCAAGTAGTATTCTGTCGGTACCTTCACTGTGTATGTCGAACAATTCTTTGTGGTTCTCTATAATAGAAAAAATATATTAGATACCATATATTCTATGAATGTATAGACAACCCTGGTTTAGAAATATATTTAACAAATATTCAGGACCTTCTTTAAGTGCGCACCCTTTCAATAATTACGTCATAGATACGTTTTTTGCCTAGATGTCTAATGTTATCAAAAGTAAAAAAGACAAGGTGATTGGCTCATGATTAATGACAGTAAGTTCCCTAGGCCAAATGACATAATTATGGAAAGGGTGTATTCATTATTCCAGGCATAACAGTAGTGAAACCAAGTAAAAATGTCTAATAATAATAATAATAATAATAATAATAATAATAATAATAATAATAATAATAATAATAATAATAATAATAATAATAATAATAATACTAACAAATACATTCATACAGATAGGTACAAAAAAATTACAAATTTCCTTAATTACCAAGTATAAGAACATCTTCAACTTTGATATCTTTAAGCTCTTTCTGTGGTTCCGAACCAGTTTTGCTATTGTTAAATAAATGCTTAACATCATCAATTTGAGGTTTAATAACTATTTTCCCTGTGAAATTCCACATTATTGGAACCATTCTTCGTTTAAGTCTTGTGTGGCGAGCTCTGCCTTTGTGGATATTGATATTGTCATATGCAAGAATGACTGGACAGTTGTCAGGAAATGATGCGGCAACTATACCTCTGTATTTTTCTTTTCTTTTGTCCAGAAATTTGAGACTGCAAAAGGACAGTATGAGCAAGATATGATTGATGTTTTTATATTCATGTACTAAATATAATTTCTTTGAAAAATATTTGAAATGGTACATTAACTTGTTGATGTGTGCCCTTCGTGTGCCATGCTTTATTATTACTTTATACTCTGCCTTATATATCTGCCTTATATATTACCATATATTACCTTATACTCTGCTCATCAAGAAGATATTATACATGTAGCATGTAATCACTCATCAATGCACATGTAGCCTATTCTGATATTATTAACAAGACAATGGGAATTGAAATAGCAATGAATATAAATGTAGAGAAAATAATTGCCAGACAGATTCAGTTTCATTATTATATATGTAGACTAATTCATATAATTTCATTAATCAGAAGATTTATATAACAGACTGAGTAAGCAAGACTTGATAGTGGTTTGGATATACATCTATGAGAAATAATTAAACTTGACCATGAATTTACAACTACAAGGCAAATAGATTATACTTACTAAAAGTCATAGCCTTTGCATAAACCAAAAGGCTCTAAAGCCTGTAATACAACTTTCCCAGCTCCATGAGAAATTAGCATAAGTCCAAACAGTGTTGAAAACCCAGTTGTAGTTCTTTGGCTTTTAATGTCATCCAATGCAAGTACCATTTGAAGGGCAGTCTTGAATTTGTAGGAAACAGTCTTTTTAGATTTGTTATACTTTGACCACTTGCCAATTGCTATAGTATCAATGATCTCAGTGAGCAATGGACAATGCTCTTGCACTTTGTTAGCTAAACTATCAAATGTGGTTTCTCCAAATATAAGGTCTAAATCTTCACTTTCTGACACATCTAAAATGCCAACATTACATATCTTTTGAAATTCCAAAAGTTCAATTTCCAGTGCTTGCTTGTTAAATTTTGAATGGTCTTGATCATTTTTGGAACTAAATGTATCCTCACCGATTTGTTCAGTCAAACCATATGGAGAACAGTTTTCATCCGTATTAGCTGTTTTGTCACTTTCAGAAAACAATTTTCGTTTGGTAGAAGCCTCCTCTTTGGTAGAAAACTTTAATTTCTGTTTCAGAGCATCATTTTCTTGAATGAGAGGTGTAACATTGTCCAAAATAGATTGTTGAATAGTAGTTAGTATATCAGAAGTCAAATTTGGTTGCAACTGGGTAAGAGAAGAATGAATATTATGCCATAATTTATCACCAACAACTGGTTTTAAAATTCTGGAAATATTCACAAACACAGTTCTAAATTTAGTTAAGGAATAAAAGTACATAACTTGCTTATAATTATACAGTACCAGTACTTTATAAATATATGTTAATAACAGATATGTAAATAGGATACATTCGCTTTCTATTGTCACATCCATCCTTTTGGTTGCCAACACGGATTGTATCCTTTTCAATTTTGCCAAGTGCTTGCACAGCTTCAAATGTTTGTGCCTTAGTAAGCTTATACCCAACTGCTTGCTCAAGTTTTAGCTGCACTTCTGGCTGAGGAATAAAATGGCCAACTTGATAAACAAAATTTTTCTTAACTGCAGCAGCTAGTCCAACTACAAAATATAAGAAAACATAATTAGAGTTAATGAGCAGGTAAACACATTTAACAATCACTACAAACTGCCTCAACAATAAACAGTGACCAAGTAAAGTAATGAGAGACTATGATGTACAGTTAAAATATCATCACAGCAAAATGTATTTATTCTGAACATACAAATGTTGTGCAGTATCGTCGTGATGGAACATATTGCAAACAACACTTCTATGCTTCCCAATACAACATAGAATATACAAGCTTAAAGTTTTGAACTAAGTGTACATATTATATGAAATTTTAAACGAGTTTTTATATAAAAGCTATTGGCAGTGTTGTCCCTAGCTAGCCTTGTTCACGTTGTGCATTAATAGCTACTTATGTAGAGCTATTCTACACAGAATGTCACAAGATAATACATAAACAACTTGTGTACTTTAATTAAGATACTTAAAGCAACCAGTAAATTGTAAGCATGGCCATAAAAGGGTGTATAACAATCCATGTACATGTACCTGAAGATTTCTGAATTCTTTTTTTCGATTTTCTGTAGCCGGGACTTGGAGTAAATCTTGGACCTTGCCTCTTTCGGCCTTTTATTGAAATAGGGCTGCTTGGAACAACTGACTCTGGTTTTCCTTCATTGTCTGGACAAACATAAATCCGAATAAAACGAAATTATATCAAAATATGCACTGGTGAAACCTAACACCGTTCAAGTGTTAACTTCCGTATAATTTATATCAACAATAGTATGACATCAATATTCAAATTTTTGCATATTTAAATAATGTAAAGGAGTCTGAGTAACGATTTAACTGTTATAAAATTGAATTTTCTAAACTTACCTTGCACATTATCCAATAGTTCGGCCATTTTGCAATCAGGGCAGTTTCAGGGCAGATGTTGGGAAATCTACTAGGCCTTCTATTTTTCGTTTTTCCTCCCCCTCCCCCCCCCCCCAGGTCCCCTTGTCCTCGTCCCCAGTCTCCTGAATAAAACTCTGGGAGAAAATATGAAGGCCTGGTGTCTAGGCTGATGCTATGCTAATATTTTGGTGTTCATTGACTGTGAAAACAATGAATTTCTAAAGAAATGAATAATGATAATAACATAAAATTTGCATAGCATAACTAAGGCAGGCTGGCTACGCCACTGTAAACTCTCGAGCGCACCTTTCAATCCCTCAAAATCAGAAACTTGCCTTTGTAGCATGAGATATGTTTTCTATCGTAAGGCTTCTATATGTCTTGGATATTCTTGTTAGGCCAAAATTGAAATTTCCAAGTATTCAAGTAAGTCTAAATTAACAAAAAATCATGGTCGCTTGATCATGCACTCAGAGTTTAACGTTTATGGTTTTGAAAGGCGTTAATTGAATCAACTGTAGACATAAATGACCAACGGTGAGTATATAAAATCTTATACACCTATTTTTTCGGTTGACGAGTATGCACAAATTAAATGGGATACACCGTGTCATACAGTCAGCCAAATTAGTTCGGAGCTGAAACGAAGTATTGTTCAGATATAATTGATGTTGCTTTAATTCTTTGTCTTGATTTTATCCATACTATTAAATGCAAAGCTATTGAAAGTTCATCAATCAGTAGAGTCCAGCGTTTGCCGATGATTGTTGACGGTTGAAGTTTACAGAGTATAAATTTCATCTCATTCAAGGAGCCAGGTAGGAATATGTCACGACTCTTGGCATTATAATAATTTGCTTAAAATTAGTGAAATTCACTCGTATACCGTTTTAATTGCAGGAATTACGAATCAGTAGCATATTGTTAGCGATGTTTTGCAGATTTTGGATTTACCTGTTTTGTATCTGTTTCGCGGTGATGGTGTTGGTCAGAGGTGCTAGTCAGGATAAAGGAAAGGTAAAATATTGTTTAGAGACGAGACACTTCTTCAAAGTATAACGGATAAGATAAATTTCAAACTACGTAAGATAATAATGCTCAGCGCTCGAGGTTTTTTGAATATATCACTTGGATTACCTACACTTGATACAGTGCCCATGTTTTTAACCTAGCTAAACCACAATATAATTTCAGTGAAAAACAAAGGAAGCTATGGCATATAGCATTCATGAACATAACATACTATAATAAAACGCGAATTTCAGTTCCATGCATGCAATGGCGTTTATTTTTAAGAACATTCAATATGGTCAGTCAGAGGGCAGTCGGCGGATATAAAAGTGCTACAAATCCAGATGTTTGCCAGTTTTGACAACAGAATCCTGCTGATAACATGAACCAATTGAGCCGTTCATACGGAAGAATAGTCGCGACTAATTGAAAAACTTGCCTTAATCCCTGTTGGGAAGAAAACAGGAAGCCCTCTATTTCATTTACCAATCAAATTTGAAATTCTTTTGAGCAATTATGATTTGCCAAAGAACAGGAAGTTTTCGAGCAATCTCGTAAGGTATTTGATAAACGTCGTAAATGAACCGATAAATATGCGAAAATTGCCGCGAATGTGAGTTTTGTATTATATTAGTCACTATCTTTGTTCTCTCGTATGAATAGCTGAAGCATATAGTAGCTACACTGGATTGCAATTTCTAAAGAACCAAACTTTTTATTAAGAACGAAACCAAACGGGGAAATCTACGACAAAAGCGATTTATACTGTCTTGGAGAATTTAAAAAATACAATGTGAAAGGGCTCTTTCCTAATCAATCCCGGGTTATTTTAAAAAATACGATTTTATGGTATAAGATCACTTTAATGCTATTCTAATATCTTTATTCACAGCCGACTTGTGGTTCTCCAGGTATACCAGGTATTCCTGGTGTTCCAGGGAGTCCCGGTCGAAACGCCGGGCCTGGGCCAGCTGGACCCCCTGGACCAAAAGGAGAGCCCGGGAGGCCTGGAAGGAGTTCGTACACGTCAGATTTAAACTGGAAACAATGTGTTTGGAAACGGGACGATCACAAAGACATAGGCTTGATACAGGTACTAATAGGACATAATCTAAATTAATCATAATTTTGATGAGGGATTACAGTGGCTTCTGTGCATCGGTTCTGCTTTCTTTGAATACTTAAACGCTATCTGTTTTTCATTTAGATATAGCTATAGCGAATTGAACTGCCCCCTGTGAAATTAGTCATGGCATGAGTGTGGTTAGGGCGTGTTCAGGGCCAGGAAACTTGCAATTAAGGGATGTTACTCCAAGGGTTTTTCTCGGGAGAATCTAACTCGATATAACCATATAAGAGCTTGCATAGTGGTGTCTAGTGCATATTTTTTATTAGCGACACATTTTAAACCTGCTTAATTTTTGACATTAACTTTACATATGTTGGTAAATATTGTGATGTTGAGTCCCTTCACTCATAATCATGGCGTCTGAGATAGGTTGCCCTATTGTATTATAACTATGTGAGACATTCTTTTATATTCTTCATAATATAGAATTGTGTCTTCAACAAGAGATACGATAACACATCGCTTCGTGTATTTTACGAAGGAGCATTCCGATCCCATGGCACTAGTCTCTGCAGTCGATGGTATTTTACATTTGATGGCGCAGAATGTGCAAAACCAGCGACTATTGAAGGAGTTGTTTATGTTCAATCAACTCACGTCAACCCTATTCGTCCGCGCCATATCGAAGGCTTCTGTGACCAGGTTCCTAAAGGTCATGTACGCGTGGGATTCTGGATAGGCAAGTGTGAGCGTAGATATACCCTCGGAGAAGGTCTTACTGGTTGGAATTCTTTATCCCGTATTGTGATCGAAGAGGTGCCACCTCCTCAAAATTGAGTTGACGAAACCGTTCCTTACTTTCACTAGTTTCACCTTAATTTATATCTTTTATATGAGTAGGAACATTTCTTTGTGATCCTTTAACAGTAAAAGTAATAACTTGCCGTATATCATATACAGAGTCTCCCAGTAAAAGCGGAACTCGCATATGTGAACTTCTATTCACATTGACGTAATTATTTTTCACAAAAGTTTAAAACTTATCAAAGCTATGCCTCTGAGAGTTCGCATGTTTTGATCTCCTAGAGGCATAGCTTTGTTAAGTTTTAAACTACTAGGACACCTTGTATATCATTTAACTCGATATATCATTTTCTTTGTTCCCGTCTGGCACTCTACACATGCCCTCATTCCAATGGATTGAGTGAAGTGGAAAAAAAGCTATTCAAATATAAGACAGGACTTCCAGGTCATATAGAGACTGTGTTCCAACGTGATGGTTAATGATGTCAAACGTAATTTAGAAACTTATAGTCACTGATTATCAAAATGTCGCTTATAGTAATTACAAAGGCAGTTCCGCGCGTAAACAGAGCTTTGAAATTATGCTTAATGTACCTTCGAACTACGTTATAATTTTGTTAAGTCGATTGCTAAAAGAGTAAATCACTATTTTTCAACCAATTGAAATATTTTGGAAACATATAACCAGCGACTACAATGCACTTATAATAATATACCTATAGCTTGTAGCATAATTAATCATAAAAATGTTTTCAAGAACTGATCACAACATTGTTTTAATTTTCGAATATTAATATTATATAATTACATGCGCATCTAGTTCTAGAAGATGTAAGCCTCCGTTTGTGACGTAATGTGATGCCTTTTTACGGGCGTCCAGGAAAATACCATGTCCTAAATGATAGCAACATTCAAAAAATCATCTTGGACTATAATTTGATATCATATTTAGTGAATGGTGTTGTTTCCTGAGAACGCAATGTAATAATTAATGGTGCTTCTCGAAGCCTTTTAGGTCCTGTATTTTTACTAATTTACAGAAATACATGATTTTCATGACAACGCCTTTGAAGACAAAGCCGGTATATGAACCAGTAAAATATGAGCAAAATATCACAAGTTTCAAAATTGTTCAACATATCCTAAAGCTATATGGCTTTTATAATAATAAAGTGAAATCAAAAATCTCCAAAGTGGTTCGGCGTTTGCCATAAAAGACTAAAAATTAATCGTAAGGTCTCTATTTGGAGATAACGGGTCACGCACTGAGGAAGTCCACTAATATAGCTCAGTGGGAGGGTAACACTTACCGGTCACACTATTGAGATATAGAAAGATCAATGAGAGTGTTCGTGGCATCATCGTTTTACAATCGGAAAATATCGTAGTTTGCATAAATTGTCAATATGGCTGAGTTTATGAGCGTTCGAAAGTCGGTAAAGATGAATCATGAAATGGTTGGAGGCCAAATCTGTATTTTTATAATGTCTGTTCCACCCAGGTGGCAAAACTGTCCAAGAAAAAGCAATCTGATTGCAGGTAGCCGTGATTTTTAGTTACTTTTGCATGAAATTTGTCCGTAATGTGGCGTTTTTACTGTCCAGTGTCTCAGCAGTTTACTCATGTTTATTGTTTACACATTACTGCAGGCATGATTGATCATGTCTGCAGTCCGCGTACATTTGTACAAATTTAATTGTTGTTGACAATGCGATAGTTCGTAGGATAGCACAAGCTTACATGAATACATGTATGCGAATGTTGCGTTTATTAATATTTCCATGAGTTAATGGTATATATATATATATATATATATATATACAGTCATTTCAAAAAAGGTTGACCTTCCAAAATATATGAACCTTGAACATTGAGCGCGCAAGGGATGATGGATAGCAACTTATTTTGGGTGTTTAATCCTGCAAATATCGCTTGCAACAATGAAAAGTGACCTACACAGCATTTCACTGGCTGTAGCCATTGCTAAAATTCAATTTTTGCACTGTTTAAGGCACAAAATAAGCTGCTACCCATCATCCCTTGCACGCTCAATGTTCAAGGTTCATATATTTTGGAAGGTCAACCTTTTTTGAAATGACTGTATATATATATATATATATATATATATATATATATATATATATATATATATACCAGTATATTTGAGTTTAACTTTCACTTTAATAGAGTTCTAGGATTTCTAGTACTTTTTATACTGGGACTATATTATTACATCGCTAGATCAAGGTACATCCTGACATATCTAGTGTAAATTACTTTAATCTCTTTGCCAACTCAAGGTCTCGCACATCCAAACCCATGGCATTGAATGATTTCCATTTCGTGAATTTATTCAAGTGAAATTCACATAAAATTAATGAAGATATTTCAGTACAAACGTTCCCACTTTGACAGAGATCTTTGGGATATGCTGCATCTAATTAATGTTACATTCATGTCTGCCTAGGAAAGGAAATGTAATATTACAGGGTCCGAAAGTAATCGTCATTCTAGTTTTTCATAATGAAAGTAATCATTACATTCATGACCCAATGTTTTGACACTCTGGACTAGTGCCTTTCTTCATCTGGGGGTGATCTGTTATTGAAACTTTGCATATTTACAATACCCCTACCTTTCCTTATAGATAAACGTATGCATCATAGATTCATAGCTGCAGATATAGTTTACTTCAAGTCACAGTGTGTTCAAATGTAACAACTAAAACGTCAGAATCAATCACTGCAAGTTAAAAAAATGTAGATCGCTTAATCATATTATTAGCCATCCACATTTGAACAGCATTTCCAACCTGCTGTTGTCTTATCTCAAAATGTCTCATTAAATGTTGTTAAGTTCAAAAGTTCATTTGTTATAAGCCCAAATGCAAAGCCCTTAGGTTGAAACAGAAGAAGTTTAAATATGGCATGTTTTTATTGTATGTTTTGTACACAATTATAGTTTGTAGTATATCTAATGATGCCATTAATGAAATACGCTAAACCTTCTATACGCTAAACCTTATATACGCTAAACCTTATATACGCTAAACCTTATATACGCTAAACCTTATATACGCTAAACCTGATACCCACTTGGTGAGCATGACTAGTCTGCGCGAAAAATGTTGAAAACGAAAATTACGAAAAAATTTTCTAAATTTCGGAGCTTTAAAGAAACATCGGAGATTTGGCAATTTCCAGCTGACCTGAGTACAAAAATCAACCAATCAGAAGCCTCGACAAAACTGAATTATCATTTCCTTCATTTCATACGACTTCGGCACTGCGATTTTTTGGGCGCTTCGGCACTGGAATACTATTCAATTGTTTTTTGGAAGAACGAGGACAAACGAATCCAGACGCATGATAGCTCAGTTTTGTGGAAAAAATATGCGTTGTTTGCGCATTGCCTGAACTTAACTCTTCGAAATCGTAACTCTCAAAGAGAAATCTCTGCTTCATAATTCTCCGTTTGACCGATCCTCGGAAGATATTAATCGAAAGGTGTAGTTGCTACATCCAGTGCATTGTGAGATCAGTACAGGGCACCAAAAGCGCTTAAAGTATTACTGACTGGTACTCTTGAAGGTTTAATTTTAAAGTATGACACTTATTCTTAAAGGTTTAATCACAGCTAAATTGAATGAATTGTAAACGTTTTGTTCAGTTGTGGCCGTGAAACGAAGACGTTAAAAGAGTTTTGTAAATTAGAAACATTTATTACGAAGCAAACTTTGTACCATTCTCCATCCAGATCCTATGAAACTGTACCACGTTGCTTTTTTGGGCGGAGGTTCACAGTCATCTTTTGTCGTTAAATCTAGAACATCCAATGAGGGTTCAAGTTCTCTTTTTGTTCGAGTGAATTTCACTAGATTTCCTTTTATTTGCTTGAGAATTTTTTGTTTGATCGCCGTATTCGCACATGACAAACTTACGCCTTTGCGACAATTCAGCGCTTCAATTTCTTCGAAATTCTCTGCAGTGCATGATACATCGAATGCATTTCTAAACAATTCATCGTTTCTCGCTGACCTGTGACGTATATCTTTGATAGAGTTGCTGGCGAGTGGATCGTCGATGCTGAAACATTCTTCGTTGTCCCCAACTATTCCTAGATGCTCCTTCAGTAGATCACATCTCAAGCTGTGAGCAAATTTCCCCATCTTGAAATCTACACCATTCATTTTACCATCCAGATATTCCAAATCCTCTATCAAGACAGCGACTTCAGAATCTCTTCCTCCCAGCATGCTGCGATCATTGATATTGGCGGATCCAATGATTGCTAAACGATCGTCGACTATCATGATCTTACTGTGAACATACACAATCTCAGTAACGAAACGTGTTCCTATCAGATCGTATGTACGCAGGCTGAATAGAGAGAAGTACTTCATTGCAGATTTTTGTGAAATATTTTCTTTCTCGAGTTTACAAAATAGCGAATCTTTTCCTTCGAAAAGGGTGCTTTCAATCCAAAAGGTCACAGTTCGTAAAGCTTTTCCATTCATATCTTTGTCGTCCAAATCTCCAGGGAATTCGGGTTTAATGGGAATAATGATCATGACATGAAAGTCTTCATTGGCTTGGTGGGCGCGGACAATCCTTTCAACAAGTGCTGACTGGATCTGGTTTTTAACTTTTAGTAAGATACCATCTTGGGATGAAATGAAGAACTGGTTTTCAATATAGATGAAGTGTTGAGCATTCTTTATCGCATCCAAATAAGCACGATATATGGAGTCCTCGTGTTTCACACCAGCCGACAAGTTGTCCACAGATCTTAGCATTTGAATACTTACGTTATGGCCACCGGATTTAAACACGATTTCTTCCGCTTTGGTTTTTTTGCCAGCAAAACGTTCTATTGCACGGTAAGCAGTGCTTTGAAAGTAGTGGTGAAACAAATCCAGACATCTCGCCCACCAAGTTTTGGTAATAACATTGTATCTGTCTCTGAAATGAGACACACAATCATAAACAGCTTCTCCAGTGAAAGCACAGCTTACATCATGCCAAGGCATGCGAGGAATAGCATTTCTATCAACACCATCGTAGCCCTTTAATGGTTCGTCCCAATCCGTTCTTTTCTCCGTGTTATAAAACGTGTTTCTGTAATCTTTGCCAATCCACCGAGCATGGTTTCTATGACTACGAGGATTCTCTTGGTCATCTGAAACTTCGCTTCCGTTCACAGCCGAATGTATGGGGTATTCATCCATCAATTCGTGTTTACGAGTGTCCCAGCGACCATAACATAGATCAATACCGCCAACAAAAGCAACACTACCATCAACAATGACTATCTTCTCATGGTGACTCCAGCGAAACAACTGCAGTGCTGCAGTGATGAAATCAGGATGGCGGTGAACTTCGATGTTATCATGATTACCAAGTAGTTTCACGACGTGACTACTTCCAAGATCTATAGCTTGTTTCAACTCTTGGTATAATAATATTTTCACTCGAACGCCCTCGTCAGCCTTTCTCAACAACATCTTGTCCAGTCGCCAATACAAGCTCTCAACTCCGGAATCAGGTCGTTTCAAAAATATTTCAGGATTCATTTGCCAGTCGGTTATCAGAACTTCCGCTTCGGCAGTCTCGATAGCATCAGCCACAGCGGACATGTAATCCTTGCCGTCAACATACCATAGAGCTTTGCTGTTCTCACGAACTGGAGCAAATGATCCATGGCGATTGAGCTGGCGGTTCTTTCGTGATAGGTATTTGTAACCTATTATTGCTGCCACTGAAATACATATCAAGTCCAACATTTTGAAAAAAGTTCCTTATTGCTCACGACAATATCAAATACTATATTCCTCAATTGCGATGAATACCAGCTGAACTCCACTCTAACAAACGAACACGTGAATGTATTGAGTCAATGGAATCTCGCAGAAATTTAATCTGATCGCCGAAATCGGTGTTTTGGATATGCACAGACAATAATCGGATGTTATATAAAAGTTCTTTCGTTTTGGCAATTTGTCTAATTTATTCCAGACTACTAATTAAGCGATAATACCGCTTGGAATTAATATCAGACACACCTGAAGGCAAAACAAAGGCTATGACGGTAAACAATGCAATAGCTGAACAGCCTCTATTTCCGTTATATTGTATAGTCAGTTCATGGGAAGACAAAAATATTGTTGCATAGAAATATCTACCACGTTGAAATACACAGGGTGATATCTTATAGAGCTTCCTGTTAAAATGTTCAGTTCTTGTGGTAAAAGTGTTTGCAATCGATGGTATTTGTTGCAGGCATATAGTCTACGTTTAATTAACCACCGAAATATCACAGGTTTCTGCAAGTTATATATATTACGATGTATTGAATTAGAGAAATTAATCTTAGCTTATTATTTATAAACTTAACAGAAGTCGGAATTCTAAGTCAAATGCGCATGGTCAGTATTCTTCGTGATTCTATAATATCTCCATTAGGCTACCCTATAAATTTATCAATAGTTTCTGCTGATATTATAGGCTAAAATCGCTGTTGTTTATAAACGCAAGAACTCTCCTGACGAATGCAACGAATGCTCTTTTGCCGAAACGGCGGGAAATTGTAGACCGATATTGTAGACACTAATCTGATAATATACTGGCCAATTTTATGAACTAGTCTCGTTCCGAACGTCGTTATAAGCTAACAAATCTAAAATTGATGTAGAGTTAAGCTAATAATAAAGACAATTGTAGCACATCGTTACTCAAAAGCACTCTATAGGTTCGCGTGATACATTAATTCTTTGAATTGCATCACCGGATGTTTAAATAATTATGTTTCCTGTATCATCAAGTTAGAAAATTAATAGAGTTAGGTCTGTGAATAGGCTAGTAAGTTGTTAAAATGATACACCATTTTGCAGTTTGCAGTGAATTCCGCAGACGTTTGAGGGGAAAAATGATTGAAGTTAGCACAGCTATTTCGGTCATCTCATGGAACACCAGTTTGTTAGGTAAATCACTGCTGCTAAGTCACAAGATAGCAGCAGATGTCATAAGACAGTCACAATAAAGTAAGGCCCACCCACGCAGTATAAGAAATAAACATAGAACTTGGGCAAGCGAAAGATAGTTCGTCTTCTAGTTCGTCTGTGTGAAAACACGGGAAAACAGACGAATCATCCGTCAACACGAATTCTCCGCATAGCTCGTCTATTCAGACGAATTTGAATGGGTAGTTCGTCTTGAGGCATCATCCGTCTGTTAGTATAAATACGGGCAGGGGATGAACTACCAAAAATTCATCATAAAACCGGCCCTTGTGCACTTTCAAAACGCGCGATTCTGTTTCGTTTGACATATTCGTCTAAGTTCGTCTGGATAGTGATGATCTTCATACGAGAGTGATGAAACGATGAACAACAACTGGTGTAGGTCGTGTTTTATATAAGTCGATTTTAAATGGCAGTTAGTTGTCCCACTCGGGACACGCGAGAAAGTTTAAATATGGAGGGAATGTTTACAAAACGCCTTGTAATGGCGAATTTTACGTCTAGCTGTTCTTAATCTTCTGAACACTATTAGCAATCGTTTATTTATTTCGTATTTTATGCAAGTCTTTTACCAGAATGTCATATTTGTTGCTTCGTATTTGAATAAGCGAGAAGGACTTGGGTAAAACGCAGATACGGACGGACGGACGGACGGACGGACGGACGGACGGACGGACGGATAACTTACTTTTCAATAAAACAAATTTTGAACGTCATATCCGCGTTTAACCCAAACGCGATTGGGTGAAACGCGGATATGACTTTTAAACGCCCGAAAATCATATTTTATACCATATCCGTGTTTTACCCGTTTGGGTAAAACGCGGATATGACGTTTAAAATTTGTTTTATTGAAAAGTAAGTTGTCCGTCCGTCCGTTCGTCCGTATCCGCGTTTACTCTAACCCTAAGCAAGAAGCCAGAAGGTTATTAAAACGTGCTTCCAGCGTCTTCCGGCAGTTTCCGAATCTAAATATTGCAATTCAGGATAATATCGTCTTGGTCAGGCGGGGATGAGCATTTATATGGCTCATCGAAACTGGTTCATATAAACAGATGCGATAAATAAACAGCTCGAAAGACAATTATAATCAATGTGAATGAGTTAATGGAATAGACCATGTCATACTGTCACCGGGATCAACTCGGAGCTGAAACGAAGCATTTGTCCTAATTGTTTTTATCGCGATGCTATTAAATGCATAGCTGTTTCAAGTTTATAAGTCATTAGAGTGCAGCTTTTGCGGATGATTGTGGACGGTTGAAGTTTGCAGAGTATAAATTTCATTTCATTCAAGGAACCAGGTAGGAATATGTCACGACTCGTAGCATTAAAAAAATTGTTTGAAATTAGTGAAATTCACTCGTATACCATTTTAATTGTAGGAATTACGATTCAGTGGCATATTGTTAGCGATGTTTTGCAGATTTTGGATTTACCTTTTTTGTGTCTATTTTGCGGAAATGATGTTGGTAAGAGGTTCTAGTCAGAATAAAGCAAAGGTAAAGACTTGTTGAGAGACCAGACATTCTATAAAATCAGTTCAACAAAGCAATAAAATTTGCTCTTCTTTTGAGCAATTCTGATTAGTCAAACAGCACGAAGTTATCGTCTAGTAAGGTAATATTTGATAAACGTCGTAAATGAACTAATAAATGTGATTATTGCTACGACTTTGTTTTTTTTAATCATTTACCGTATCTATATGTTTACTCGTAGGAATAGCTGTGTATTATTAAACAGTATAATGACTAGCTACAGTGAAAAAATTGAAAGACAAGGGAGGATGATCGATGAATAGATTAATTATTTTCAAACATAATAAACTACATATCGGGGTAGAAAATATGCATTTGTAAGTTGAAGAAGTAGAAGACAACAGACAGAAATTATTTCTGGAGAATGGCATTAAAATGCTGCGGACCTGTTTGTTAAGGTCTGGTTTGTGTTTGTGTATGAACTCCTTGAGTTGAAGAGGAAGGAGGTGTTAGGAATTAAGTGTTCCTCCACATAGCTAGGCGCTTTCCTTCAGGCTGCCAAAATGGTCAGAGCGGTCATATTTTGAATTGAAACAGAATATTTCGTTAAGAATATAGCAGTGAAACTACATTTCCTGTGCTAAAAAGATGAAAATAATGCATGATATTCTTGATGCAGAGTTCTTGAAACACTCTAAAATGCCAGTAATCTGTCTGTCCTGAAACACAACAGGACCGGTCTGGCCGTTTTTACCGTATAAAGGAAAGCGCCCTTTGTCTTAGATATAGCTAAATTGCGTTTGGAAGTTGTTTTTTTTCAAGTCTAACGCATATAAATAAGAGGGTGCATGCATGGCAATTTTTTCAAATTTTGAAATACACGATTTTAATGTACAAGATCACCTTAATGTTATTTCAATATTATGATTCACAGACGAAATGTGGTTCTGCAGGTATACCAGGTATTCCTGGTGTTCCAGGGACTCCAGGTCGAAATGCCGGGCCTGGGCCAGCTGGACCCCCTGGACCAAAAGGAGATCCCGGGAAGCCTGGAGCGAGTGCGTACACGTCAAATTTAAACTGGAAACAATGTGTTTGGAAACGGGACGATGGCAAAGACAGTGGCTTGATACAGGTATTAATGAGACATAATTTAAATTAATCATAATTTTAAATAATAATCACAGAGACTTCTGTGCATCGGTACTGCTCATGACACTGGGGGATCCGTGATTTAGAAATTGCCCAAGTCTCGCATATTTTGAATTTCCTTCAAAATAACTCAATCTCTTATTCTCATTCAGAAATATAGGCAACAGAAATTTGCTTTCAAATCCATGTGAGGGCTTGCATAGTGGTGTCTAGTTCATATTCTTCATTATCACATTCTAAACCTGCTGAACTATTCACGTTTGCATATATTCGTAACTGTTATGGTATCGAATCCCTGATCCTGCACGCTTCTGAGATCAGCAGTCCTACTTAATACATCTATTTGATATCATTCTTTTATCCTTCATAATTTAGAACTGTATCTTCAACAAGAAATACGACAACACCTCACTGCGTGTATTTTACGAAGGAACATTCCGATCCTATGGCAGTAATGTCTGCAATCGATGGTATTTTACATTTGATGGCGCAGAATGTGTAAAACCAGCGACTATTGAAGGGATTGTTTATGTCCAATCAACTCAAGTCAACCCTCAGCGTCCGCGCCATATTGAAGGCTTCTGTGACCAGGTTCCTAAAGGTCATGTACGTGTTGGATTCTGGATAGGCAAGTGTGTGGGTTTTACTCTCGGGAATGGTGCTACTGGTTGGAATTCTGTATCTCGCATTGTGATCGAAGAGGTGCCACCTCCTCAAAACTGAGTTTACCAAACTAAGCCAATAGTGTCTCTTTACTTTCACTAGTTTTATTGCAGTAGTTCAATTGAAATATTTTGTAAACGTATAACCACCGACCAAAATCCATGAGTTGATATACCTATATAGCTTTTAGCATAATTGATAATAAAAAAGACTGTTTTCAAGATTTTATCTCAACATTGTTTTGATTAATACTAATATCATAATTACGTGTGCATCAAATTCTAGAAGATGTTAGTCTCTTTTCACGTGATTGTAATGCCTTTTTACGGGCGTCCTGGAAATACCATTCTAAATGATAGCAACAATCAGACATCTTGGATATAAATTGATACCATATTTATACATGGCGTTACCTTGTCAGAACACAATGTAAATGTAGTGCTTCTCGAAGCCTTTTAAGTCCTATATTTTTTTCTAATTCACAGACGTATATGATTTAGCTGAACGCCTTTAAAAGATTAAGCCATGCAATATAAGCAAGTACAATAAGAACAAAATATCACAAGTTTGAAAATTGTTCAACATGCTGTTCTAAAGTTATAAGTCTGTTATAATAATGTAGTGAAATCGGAAATCACATTAGTGGTTCGACGTTTGCCATAAAAGACTAAAAGTTAACGCTACTGAAGAGGGTCACACTACTGAAATATATATAGTTATAGTGTTCGTGACATCATCGCTTGACAATCGGAATATGTCGTAGTTTGCAGAACGTAATTAACTCTTCCAAATCATAACTCTCAGAGATATATCTCTGCTCTGCAACCTTTCGGTGATTACCAAGAATATCGTGACATTGTCAAAATTAGCAGCTTTTGAAAACTAAAAAATTCGTAAAAATCGCGTCGTGTTGGCGAATTGCGTCTGGTATATATCGGCCTGTTTGAAGGCTCTTTTGTCGAAACATCGGAAAAAAACACATCGTTAAGGCCCTGTTACACGGTGCAATTTTTCTTGCAACTTGCAATGCCATTCTACTTTTGAGAGATGTATATTGGGAACCACGAAACGTGTTTATTACACTTCATGCACTTTTCCTCTGCAAGACTCTTCACTTATTTACATCTCCTAGAAGTAGAATTGCATTGCAAGTTGCAATAGAAATTGCACCGTGTAACAGGGCTTTTACTCAAAAAGGCCCTTTCTTGGGTCGCGTGATGTATTAATTCTTTAAATTGGATCGCTGGAAGTTTAAATTATATTTCCTTCGTCATCAATGATTTAAGGCAGTTGGTAAACAGAATTAGAATTATTACTTTTATTTGTATTTGAGTGAAAGTAGAAGTAATTAGATTTAAAACGACTTGCGTAGAAGTAAAAAGTACCGGAGAAAAAACATACTTGAGTAAAAATTACAAAGTATTTGTTAAAAATAATTGAAGTCGAAGTAAAAATTACCGTTGGTTACAGGGTGGATTAAAAAAAACTATTTTCAGTGGAATATTCGTGATTATCCACTTCTATTCAATAACATAAGATCTAACTGAAGATTCTTGAAGTTATTAACTTTGTGTTTTGTAACGTGACTAGTAGGCGTATTTGAATAATTAAAGTAGGCGTGTTTTGTGTGGTCAGCGGACTACGTATCAACTTCTGAGGATCGATGTGTGATTGCGTGCTCTATAATATTCTCCTGTCAAAACGGGTGAAATTCACTGAAAATTTTTTTGGAAAAAAGTAACGAAATACTTTGCAACTGTAATATGTAGAAAATATAGCGAAGCAAAACGTTGCATAAAAATGACTTCGTTCCAAATAAAAATACTATCTCAAAAATATACTTCGTTACATTTACACAAGTACCTATTACACAAGTACAGTAACAAAGTAAATTTACTTCGTTCTTGCCACTTCTGTAAGGCCCGCCCACCCAGTATAAGAAATAAACATTAACGGCAAGTTTGGACCTCTTTCGTTTTTGTCCCCACAAAACAATCAGTGACGTAACCAGCCCGACAATTTAGTCTTGCTAGACTCATATTTCAGTTGGTGCTCATTGACTGTAAAAACAATGAATTTCTAAACAACATAAAATTTAAGATAACATAAAATTTACACAGCATGACTAAGTCGTCAAGCTGGCTACGCCACTGAGACCAACTATCCTGACTCCGATAAACAAAACGTCGAAAGAGAACTATGACTATGTTGTACAACACATGCTACTTGTATCATGTGCATGAGTACATTCAAGTTTCAGTGTACACGCACCTTAAAATCATCACGATCACATTCATGCAAATTGTTCAAAACGGAAGTGAACAATGTTGTGCTGCACCCTGTGAACAGTATTGTTAACAATTTTGTTGAACCTTGTTGATATATCAATGCTGTTTCAACTTCTTGCATCAACATTGATGATTTAACAAGGTTCGACGACATTGTTAACAATACTGTTTATATGGTGCACTACAACATTTTTCATTTCTGATGCGACACCATGATCAATTTTTGGCCGTGTGTAACGAGGACACAATCCAATGAACAAAGTATGCACTTAAGAAGATAACAAAAGATGAGCAAAATAAATTTAAACGCAAAGGAAATTATATTCAATTTGTGATATTTCGACTTCAAGAATCAATATCCAGCCATATTGAGTTATTACATACATGCATACATGTGGGGATCTACATACGAGAAGAATGGCGTGATGAACAACAACTAAGACGCGTTTTCGTCGTGTATAGCGTAACTAAAACAACAATATATGGAATAAACATGCAAAGGACCACTCCAGTAAGAATATTTGTTTGACTCATATCTTATTACGCAAGGCATTACGATCATCAGGTCGGAGCTGAAACGAAGCATTGTTCAGATATAATTGTTGTTGCTTTAATTCTTTGTTTTGATTTTATCCATACTGTTAAGTGCAAAGCTATTGCATGTTTATCAGTCATTAGAGTCCAGCGTTTGCCGATGATTGTTGACGGTTGAAGTTTACAGAGTATAAATTTCATTTCATTCAAGAACCAGGTAGGAATATGTCACGACTCTTGGCATTATAGGAATTTGCTTAAAATTACTGAAATTCACTCGTATACCGTTTTAATTACAGGAATTACGAATCAGTGGCATATTGTTAGCAATGTTTTGCAGATTTTGGATTTACCTGTTTTGTATCTGTTTTGCGGAGATGGTGTTGGTCAGAGGTGCTAGTCAGGATAAAGGAAAGGTAAAATGTTGTTGAAAGACGAGACACTTTGTGAAATTCCAACGGAACGAATCGTTCTAAACGCTTTTAAATCACTTGGTTTTATCGTACTTGATAAGGTGCCCAATTTAACCTAGCTAAACAACGGAAACGCATAGCATTTAATCAAATAACATTATGAAATGAACATTATGACATAATATGAACGACACTATTAAAAAAGTGAATTTCTGTCCTCTGCAATAGCATTTTCATAGTGGAGTCAGCGAAAGCAAAAGTGCTACAACTCCAGATGTCCGTTTTGACACACTTGCTGATAACATTATCGCATGAACCAATTGAGCCATTCATAAAAATTAGTCGCGACTATCTATAAATGAAAAACTTTCCTTTCTTAAACACTCCCTCCCGTATAGCCAAATTTATTTGGTATCTATATTATTGACCAATCAAATCTATTCTGATTACTGAACAATTCTTATTGGCAAGAAAAACAGGAAGTCTTCTATTTCATTGACCAATCAAATTTGACCTTCTTTTGACAAATTATGATTCAAAGAACAGGAACAAGTAAAAGAACAGGAAGTTTTCGATCAGTCTCGTGAGGTATTTGATTAACGTCGTAAATCAACCGATAAATGTGCGATTATAAATAATTATTGGTTGAGGCTGAGCAGGATATCGAGAATAATTCAGGCCGAGGTCAATGATGACTGATTATTCTGGATATCCTGCGAAAGCCGAATTCAATAATTGTTTTATTATTCATTGGATTTTGAAAAACAAGCAGATGAACATAAACAAATCATAAATATTCAAAACAAATTTATCGGTCGTATTTCAATAATTACATTCAATTTTAAAAAATAGTACTTTGTAGACTTCCTGTTTTTCGAGTCTTTATTAGCGAGTAATATTTGAAATGAGCACGCGTGCTTGCAGCCATTGTTTTGTTTTACATCAGTCACTATCTATGTTCTCTCGTACGGAATAGATGTAGCATATAGTAGCTAAATTATAGGTAATTCTCAATATCGTGCACATACATACTGGTGCAGCAGAAAGTCTTCTATTTCATTGACCAATCAAATTTGCCCTTCTTTTACCAAATTGTGATTCAAAGAACGGGAACAAGTCAAAGAACAGGAAGTTTTCGATCAGTCTCGTAAGGTATTTGATAAACGTCGTAAATCAACCGATAAATGTGCGATTATAAACAATTATTAGATGAGGCTGAACAGGATATCGAGAATAATTCAGACCGTGGTCAATGTTATTATAGATAACATTGACCGCGAGGCCTGAATTATTCTGGGTCGATATCCTGCGAAAGCTGAATTCAATAATTGTTTTATTATACATTGGATTTTGAAAAACAAGCAAACGAGCATAAACATTAAACAAATCGTAAATATTCAAAACAAATTTATTAGTCGTATTTCAAAAATTACATTCAATTTTAAAAAACAGCACTTTGACTTTGTAGACAGTTGACTTCTTCCTGTTTTTCGAGTCTTTATTAGCGAGTATTTTTTTCCATTTCCTGCTTTTAAACTGATGTAAAATGAGCACTCGTGCTTGCACTCATTGTAAATTTTGTCATGTAAAAGAGAGGACAAGCTCGCGAATTCCCTGCGCTCGTGCACGATACCGCTAAAAAACGGCGGGCGCTGACCAATAACCTCTGCAGATAACACTATGACCGCTGAAAAATAGCGCGGGCACCGACAGATATCTGAAATTATCCGTACATTTTCAGCCAATCAGCGGACGATTACCGTGACTATCTAATGAATAATAATAGTCGATATAGATGCGACTGTGAGTTGTTGTAACATGTTCGATCGCGAAATTCAGAAGCACATCGAACATTTATCATTTATAGACCTGGAGCGAGGGGAATTCGACGAAATATTACCCGAAATATTTCGTCGAATTCCTCGAGCGGAAGGTCTATAAATTATATATCATATCGAAACAACGTGTAGGCAGCGCAAAAGCTGGGTGAAATGGCTTCTTTTGCCTCCATTTTGAAATTGTTGACAACCTCGAGTCGTGTGCGAGGCATCCACACGTGGTACACGCAAACACGAATACTCCGCTGCAGCGGGGTATTCGACTTTTATAGCATAATGTGAAAAAATTCGATGGAACTCCATGATTAATTTACTGATCACGTGGTACAAATCGAGCTTTCTGATTGGATGATTTACAGTTGAGATATAATTTAAAAAAGTATAGAAATTCAAAAACGTAAATAAACCGCATGATACGTTCACTTTGTCTTACACATTGCCTTTGGAATTCGCCCTTATATGGTTATATTAAATGTTCAATCCTGTGCAAACTGCGACGTGTCAACGCGCCCATACACTACCACATCTTGTTAAACGGCGAAATAGCGGCGATATTATTAAAATAGGACCAGAATCTACAGGTATTAGATATATTCTTCTAGAATATTTGTTGTGTGCAGTCATTGAATAATTTGAATACAGAAATAGAAACAAATTTACATCCAGACTATTTCTCATCGGTGAAAATGACTTGTTCACGACAAATACGACTAAATGAAAACCAGGGATTAGATAAAGCTAAATTTCCTGAGTTTGGAAATATTTTTTGCAGGCTCACGGATATACATGGCAAAGACTACATTTTTCATATTTTAAAATCACAACGATTTTAATGTATAAGATCACCTTGATGTTATTCTAATATCTTTATTCACAGACGAAATGTGGTTCTGCAGGTATACCAGGTATTCCTGGTGTTCCAGGAAGTCCCGGCCGAAATGCCGGGCCTGGGCCAGCTGGACCCCCTGGACCAAAAGGACAGCCCGGGAGACCTGGAGCGAGTGCGTATACGGCAGACTTAAACTGGAAACAATGTGTTTGGAAACGGTACGATCAGGACAAAAACAGTGGCTTGATACAGGTATTAATGCGGCATATATATATATATATAAATATATATATATATAAATATATATATATATATATATATATATATATATATATATATATATATATATCTTTTCTGCGGTGTTTATAATTGTTATTATAGCAAATCATGGGTAGCAAATCTTTAAGATTGCCCCTTGAAATTGACCCGTGTTAATACCCGACCACGTCGGACTCGCGCCAAAACGAAGCTCATTTAACTGAGCCCCGACTTTTAAAAGATGTTGACGAGTGACGAAAAATGTTAATTTTTAATTTAGTTACTGTTGGTATGCAATGAATAATACAGACAGTCGCGTAGCCAGCCTGACGATTTTGTCCCGCTATGTAAATTTCCAGTTATTGTAATTATTCATGTGTTTAGAAAGTTATTGTTTTCACAGTCAATGAACATCAAAATATTAGCATAGCGGGACAAATTGTCGGTTCTTTTTTTGCAATGTTTGTTTATTTCACATACGTATGAACTTGTCAACGTTGGAGCTAGATAAGAACAACAAAATTTTCGACGCTGTTCAAGTTCGATTTATAAATCGCAGGGACCGAACCTGTACGATCTTCGAGAGTTCTTTCTGGAGGCCCCCTGTGAAAATGGCATGGGTGTGGTTTGGCCGTGTTCTGGGCCTGTAAGCTCGTAAGGGACTAAGGGAGGTAACACCAAAGGCCCTTACTGGAGAGATTTTAACTTGACTTGTATGACTTAGTGGTGTCTTCTTCACATTCTTCAAAAGCCCATTTTAAAGCTACTAAACTCTTTACGTACGCATATGTTTGATACTGAGATAGGTTGCCCTATTGTATTACATCTGTTTAAGATAATTCTTTTATTTTTCATAATTTAGAACTGTATTTTTAACAAAAAACACCAAAATACATCGATGCGTGTGTTTTACGAAGGAACATTCCGATCCTATGGCAGTGATGTCTGCAATCGATGGTATTTTACATTTGATGGCGCAGAATGTGTAAAACCAGCGACAATTGAAGGGATTGTTTATGTTCTATCAACACAAGTCAACCCTCATCGTCACCGCCATATTGAAGGCTTCTGTGACGACGTTCATAAAGGTCATGTACGCGTGGGGTTCTGGGTAGGCAAGTGTGGGGGAAATAAGCCTCTCGGAAGTGCTGGTACTGGTTGGAATTCTGTATCTCGCATTGTGATCGAAGAGGTGCCACCTCCTCAAAACTGAGACTGAGTTTACCAAATTAAGCCAATAATAGTATTTCCTTACTTTCAGTAGTTTTACCTATTTACCGTATCATTAAGTTAGGAGGAACATTTATCTACGATCCTTTAATAGTATATTCTTTTTAAAAGCAATAAGTTGCCGTACATCATCTATATTAAACTCAATATATCATTTTCATTCTTCGTTCACACTCTACATGTATACTCATGGTTCTTTAAATAAAACTAAAAGTAATCTAGTCACAGAACATCAACCATGCCGCTTATAGTAACTTTTTAATATAAATACGTTTATTAGTAGTAGGGAAATTTACAATCATCGATCATGCATTAAAACTAAGTGTAACAGTTCTACAGGCTATTTACAAAAACAACTTAACTAGACTGCTAAAGTTTGAGTTCCATTCCGACAAAGTAGTGTCATTAGTCGATGTGATGGACGCAGTCCTCCAACTTCGACTGCCACGATAACACACACCACGCGGCTCTAAGCAAAGCAAAGCAAACAAAGCCAACGCGATCTTTCGTCGTAATGCCAAAGGCGTGAAAGACGACCGGTGTGATGTCGGTTGTAATGTCGCTTCTTTTCCCATTCGTTGGCTTTAAACGAGCTGCTCAACGTCTGGCGTCGATGTGTTGAGGCGTATGGGTTAAACACCCTTACATCAAAAAATGCCTTTTCACATCTCTGCCAGGAACCTCTCGCAGCAATGTTCACTCTGGCGTCATCGGCTGAATTAGCACTGGATGGAAGAACCTCGCCAGTCAAAGAAGCAAGGGCAGGTGAAACATCGTAAGCAACGTCATCGATAGCAGCAGCAAGTAGATCACGGTTCTCATCATGTTTTTGATGGATGAAGCCTCCTTTTAGGCACGAAAAGTTATGATAATTTTAATTAAAAAACCGTGAATGATTAAGCAGTTTCGATTAATTCACTGGAGATTCATTCACATTAACTCGCCAGTTCCGAGTTCAAGTTCTGATTACAAAGGCAGTTCCGCGTTCACAGAGGTTTGAAATTTTACTTGGTTTACCTTCAAACTACTTTACAATGTTATTGGATCCATTGCTAAAGCCCGTTTTCCACTAGGCGAATTAATTTTATTCGCGCGAACAGATAAAAAGTACAGTCACTGGTCACACTACTGATATATATAAAGATCAGTAAGAGTGTTCGTGACATCATCGTTTTACAATCGGAAAATATCGTAGTTTGCATAAATTGTCAACATGGCTGAGTTTATGAGCGTTCGAAAGTCGGTAAAGATGACTCATGAAATGGTTGGAGGCTAAATCTGTATTTTTACAATGTCTGTTCCACCCAGGTGGCAAAACTGTCCAAGAAAAAGCAATCTGATTGCAGGTAGCCGTGATTTTTAATTACTTTTGCATGAAATTTGTCCGTAATGTGGCGTTTTTACTGTCCAGTGTCTGAGTGTCACTAAATTGAATGCAGTTTACTCATGTTTACACATTACTGCAGGCATAATTGATTATGTCTGCAGTCCGCGTACATTTGTACAAATTTAATTGTTGACAATGCGTTAGTTCGTAGAATAGCACAAGCTTACATGTATGCGAACGTTATTAATATAATTTTCCATGAGTTAATGGTATATTTGAGTTTAACTTTCACTTTAATAGAGTTCTAGGATTTTTGATACTTTTTATACTGGGACTATATTATTACATCGCTAGATCAAGGTACATCCTGACATCTAGTGTAAATGACTTTAATCTCTTTGCCAACTCAAGGTCTCACACATGACACATCCAAACACATTGCATTGAATGATTTCCATTTTGTGAATTTATTCAAATGAAATTCACATCAAATGAATTAAGATATAGAAATGGCTTTATCAAGTACAAACATTCCCACTTTGACGGAGAACTTTGGGATATGCTGCATCTAATGAATGTTACATTCTGCCTAGGAAAACAAAATGTAATATTTCAGGGTCCGAAAATAATCGCCATTCTAGTTTTATATAATGAAAGTAACCATTACATTCAAGACCCAATGTTTTGACACTCTGGACCTAGTGCCTTTCTTCATCAGGGGGTGATCTTTTATTGAGACTTTGATCCTTATATACTCTGAACATGAGGTCATCTGCCCATGATTAGCAATTTTAAATGTCCATTTTGCATTCATTTCTTGTAAATTATTGTTAGTTAGATTGGCAATTGTGATCTTAGTAATGTGTTATATATGTTTAGATCGATTTCTTGCATTTAAAACATTCTTGGATAGTCGTTATGATGCCGAAGTGCCTGAAGAAAATCGATGGCAGCTGCCAATGTTGTTGGGTTATCTTGCTAGATATAAGGTAAAGATTTTCGATTCACTTCCCAGTGATTTTTCTTCCCATATTTACAGTACCCTAACCTTTCCTAATAAACATGCATCATAGCTGCATAGTTCCCTTCAAATGTAAAAAACTAAAACTTCAAAATTCATCACTGCAAGTTGCAAAAAGGACTAGGTAATTGCTTAATCATATTATTAGCCATCCACAGCTATATTCCTAGCTAAGGGGTTAGCAAGAATTTGGACAGCATTTCCATGCAACCACTTGTTGTCTCATCTTAAAGCTCTCATCAAATGTTGTTATTGCCTATGATCTACAAAAATATTCTTGAATTTCTGAGACTTAAGCATCCCCATGAGTAGAGTTCAATTTGTGTACAAGCCCTAATGCAAAGCCCTTAGGTTGAAACATAAGAAGTTTAAATATAGTGTGTTTTTATTGTATGTTCTGTATACAATTAAGGTTTATAACATATGCCAATGCCTCATTAGATATACTGCTAAAAATATAACTCATTAACTGACTGTAGTTTTAATTTTTGTGTTGATACCATATTGTATATCTATGCATTCAATTCCAGGAATTAATCAATCCTTTCATGGAAAAATCAATTTCCTATGTGCTTGAAATGACAGATAACTTTAATTTAATGCACAGTGAATAACATGAATTCCTACTTGTACAGTGGCCCCACTAAGTTCACAACCACACTGACGGTCTGTTAGTTCTAGCTGGTATAATGTTATTAATCTAATTACTCTAATCAACTTCAGAAAACCCTTGGCTTGGTAATTGATCTGACAAATACCTCCAGATTCTACAACAGGAATGATTTGGATGATGCTGGGATAAAATACATCAAAATTAACTGCAAAGGGTAAGTAAATGAGTAATTGATTTACATGATTTTCTGAAGAATACAGCTAGACGTTTAACAGCTGGTCACAAAGCATACCATTCTGCTCCAACCTCTGCCAACATATTTTGTACACCTTGTTGTCATATGGCAGTATCAGTCAAAATCACAGTTTACAAAGTTTAATTTTACTTTTCATGAAAACAAACAGTCAGCTGATTTATTTTATTTCCTGTCACTTGGTCTTGGTATAATTTACTCCTTGATTCTTAACATATTCTAGACTGCGATAATACATATACTCATAGACAGCCCAGCTATTCCAAAGGCAAAGGACTATCCAATTTTGAAATACGTTACGAGTGCGTGTTTTTTCACAATTCTGCGAGAAAATATGCCATTACCTATCAACAGATACTCGAAGAAATGTTGAATTGTACTTTACAATTCTGTCTATACTATACTATAGTATAAAGACTATACTTAGACTTAGAGTATACTCTCATATTCATACCGTACGATCTTTTCCCTTTGAAAAACGATGTTTACTTATGAAGTTCCTCTTCCTTTTTCGTTACAAAACACCATAAATACGGTATTGTTTCTTTCTTTTTTAATGTCTTCCTAAAAGAAGCAAATTTGCATGAAAATTTAACCGTGAAACTGATTTTTTTCAAGAACACATGTTTACCGGCCATGTTCGATGTTTTTCGCGGGAATTTCCGGGAAAATCACATCACTCAAACATGGCTTCACCGTGATTGGCTCGCTGTTTTCCAACAACCAATAGGATAACTTTGCTTCAAAATCATATAGTAATTTGTGTGTTTAATTGATTTAGCCGAACGTTTTTCACGAAAAACAACCGTAAACGACCTCACTAAAATCATACCCGCGGTTAATAGAATTATATATAAAGACGTTTTCTTCCTGACAGCAAAATGTTGAAATAACTTTCCCTGCGAAACGATGTTAAATGGCTGGGGCTATATATAGCGCTATCCACCGGATAGTGATTTTTCAACCATTCTAAAAATGCTGGAAATGCAATAAAATTACAGCTTTGGGGTAACAGTTATTAAACACGATCCTGAATTTAAGAATACTACGGTTTAACCGAGCAATGGGCAGTTTTTTATAATAGAGCGATTGAAAAAGCCACTATCCGGTTGATTGCGTTATTCAACTTTCCCCAGTTTGTTAATAAGTAGCTTGACATACCCCCCCCCCTCCCTCTCTGTTCCGACGGGCCTGATATGCCATATTCTGGTATACTCAACCATACCAATTGAGGCCGAATATGCCATATTCCAGCATATCCGACCTTTCCAAGATCGAATGTACCATACTCTGGTATATTCTGCCATACCAAGGTCTCGAATATACCACAATATACCACATTCCGGTACATTCGACCTTCACTCTTATTCATCGTGTTTTTCTCATTACCTTTTCCATAAACTAGTCTTACATTTTGCATTATATTTCTCTTTCTGCAAACACACTCTCTTTTTTCATTTCAGTCATGGCGAAGCACCTAATGTGGAACAGACCAATAACTTTATCAGAACTTGTTCAAAATTTTGGAATGACGAACCTGAGAAGATCATAGGTAAATAACTACAACTAAATGTGGATATAAAATAGGTTTGCGTATTTTCCAAGAAATGATCGTGCAGAAAAATATTACTGTTTGTCGAATTTTTTATGGCGACTGGATGAAGTGTTTTATTAATTTAATCATTCATTTAAGGCATTCACTGCACCCATGGTTTCAACAGAACTGGATTTTTAATTATCTCGTATCTTGTCCAAGTTTTGGAATGGAGGTACAGTACTGTCTAGAAATAACCTAACAAAAACCGCGGTCAGACCGAGGTCGAACTGAGGTGTGAGATTGTCCCGTACTGTGTATCATTAAAGATATAGCTACGATCATTAAAAATCTTGGATTTGTTTTATTAAACTTCTATATTTTTGTTTTTCTAGCTTGGAAGCTGCTAATCAAGTTTTTTTGCAGGTAATATTTAATAAAAATATATCAAGAATATACAGTCCTGCAAAGTTGATAGATTTTGTATGCAGGGTGTCAGAAAGCTAAATAACTTCTCTTTTAAACTGCATAAAGATTATATCGACAAATTCAATAAATTATATCCTTGTAAAGGTATATGCATGTTATAATTTCATTTTGTTTTTCTGAGGCAGCCTGTGTGCGTTAATATTAAGCACTTGAGCCCAATAAGCAGGACTTTATCCCACTTTACAACATATGACAACTAAAGGCCATGTTACACGGTGCAATTTTTGGGACATGTCGCAGTCCTCGGGAGCTTTCGTCCAATTGGATAATGCTTTTCTATGCTTTCTAAAGAACGAAGCTATGCTATTGGTTGAAACAGAAATGTATTGTAAAGTTCAGCCAATGAAAATCATTCTTGAGAGGAGCTGCGACCCTACCCCAATTTTTCCTGCAACTTGCAAAGCAATTCTTCTTTTGAGAAATGTAAATTTGGCAACTACCAAACTTTTGTCTTTATTATACATTCCATGGCGTTCTTGTACTTACATTTTGAAGACTTTTCAGTAATTTACATCTCTTAAAAGTAGAATTGCATTGCAAGTTTCAAAAAAAGTTGCACCGTGTAACATGGCCTTAAGCTTTGTGGTTTTCCTAATTCCATGATTGTTTTTTGAATAAGTCTCTTGCCAGAATCATCCATTGCAAGTTCTTTTTTTATTCAAGAACCGATCTCCGGGAATATATAAGCAACATTATCTTGACGACCTCTGCAAACGCTATGACGAGAGCGAAAGCCTGCAGGCGCCCGAACTGCCTGAGTGGTGCCTGGAAGAAGAGGAGGGAAGCGACAACGAGGCAGAAAATGGTGGACAGGAGAATGATGCTGGGGCCGATGGCAGCAGACCCGACGGAGGCCGTAAAAGACAAAGAAGAGAATTCAAAACTAGTGTAAGTTTTCAATATTATAAATATTATAAAATAAACTATTTCTTGACATGCAGACTGTTCCTAATTTTGATAGCTTCGAAATTCGCGCATTTCTAAGTGGGCATTGAAATTCCGATCTACGCTGATCTTCGTTGTTACGAAAATTTATTTCGAAAATTTGTGTAACGAAACTTTTTTTTATTAGGAAGCGAAATTCATGGACGGAGTTACTGGCATCACCGTTGCCCCACAACCAACTTTTGGCGATATTCAACGCGCATGTCAAGATATCTGTGGTTGGGAAAGGTATATACTCACTTGATTGTAGATGTGTGTTACAGTTACAGTTACAATTATTGTGTGTTCAATGTTCCCAATGTTACGACAATAATGAGTTATGGTTTGACGTGCGAGACCTGTACTGTACAGTATATACAGTATGATATGGGGTAGGAACTGGCTTCACTTCTAACAACCAAGTTCGTACTCCATGTTATATATAGCTATTGCATGTAGGGCCTGTATTATGCAATACCACCGCTGAAAGATATTTCTCCCGTTATTTAGAAGCGGGTTTCCCGGGAGTCAGCCCGTCTCAATGGACGTCCACAATATCGGATTTTTGAACAAGAAACTCTACCGTGTCACATGGAAAGCTGATGGAGTCAGGTTAGACATCCTCTGGGAGTGTTAATTAACGAACAGTCCGAAATTATCATGTTTCTTGTGCTTAGTATTAAAATGCGAATCATTGGATTATTTGACAAATTTCTCTGAACTGATTGATCTTGTTTCAGATATATGATGTACATCAAGGGACTTCACGAGATATATTTGATAGACAGGGACAACGCTGTCTTTGAGGCACCTCAACTAACGTTTCCTCAAAGAAAAGTCCCTCATTCTCACGTTCAGGACACTTTACTGGATGGGGTAAGCCAATGTCGGAATAGAAAATAACAAAACGATTTGAAAATTCTACCTCAAAACGTTTCAAGTTTTATTGAACAAGGATAAAACAAAATTGTTACTGTGAGAGACTGTGCAGAGTGTGTTTAACCGACTGACCAAAGGTGCCTGGTTTACCTACCAAGTTTTCCCCAAATATCGGCCAACTAAGCGTTGTAAAATTTGCGAGATTTTAAGCAAGGTAGGTATGTAAAAAAACAAGGAAGAATTTCGTTTTAGACCAATCAGCAAGTTTGTTTACATTTTCAGTAACCCAATCAGAATGCATAAATTTGACTACTTACGGTAAAAAGATACATTATTTACCATTTTACATGAAGTATAAAATATAAAATTTTAGGCTTTCTGACTGGCTTTGCCTAAAAATGTAAACAAATATGCCGATTAGTTTAAAACGAAATTCCCCCTTGTTAGGTAGAAAGGTTACTTAGCAGCCACATCCAGGACACACAATAGATGCACATTAATTTATGGTTTCTTCAATGTTTTTCTCGAATTATTTAGGAATTGGTGATGGATAAAAATGACGACCAATTGACGCCGAGATATCTAATCTACGATATCGTCAGGTTTCAGGTAAAATAACTGTAGTTTCGTTGATTGCTCACCGGCGAGTTATGAAGATTACTCGCTTAGATAAAACAACATTAAACAATACTCGCGTATACCTTAGCTACTTTAGAGTATAAACATTAAATGCTCTATGCCCTTGCCTGGTATTTTGAGCCCAGGCCACCTTGTACAGCTGGGGCCGGTTGTATCAAGCCCGTTTAGCTTAAACGGTTGATAAGTCAAAATGAAATAAGTAAACACTCTTACATCTCTCTTGAATGAGTCAACTTGAGCATTATGCCCTGGATATGTAGTTGTAAACAGCATCTTTGTATTAAGGTTAAAAACATTTAGTTCGCTTCTTGGATAAGACGATAGACTTGATTTCTATTTCGAACTTAACCACCGTTTAATTAAGCTAAACGGGCTTGATACAACCGACTCATGACAAGTTTCGTGAAAGAAGCCGAAATATATGTAATTTTATCACCTAGTTTTCCGACAGAACTCTCTTGATGAAACTGTATTCGTACATTTCTTGAAGGGCCAGGCCATCGGAAAGATGTCTCATGACGTGAGAATGAGGTGTATCGATATTGATATTATTGGACCGAGAAATAACGCGGTGAAGGCTGGGACTTTGGACAAAAGAAATGAACCGTTTAGTATTCGAAGCAAACAATTTTTTCCCGTAGAGAAATCTGAATGGGTAAGAGACCTACGCTTTGAACAAAATGCACTTGTTCTATTGTGAATGGCTAGGCAAATATTTTAGAAATTGGAAAATCAATTTCTCGTCATAAAAACTACGAGTTATTCTATGACTTGTTGAATTTTGGCGTTTTAAACGATCCCCGCACGATCCTATACCGGCCCTATAGCAAGGCAAGCATACCATCGTATGCGCGAAAAAGTCCTACTAAGCAATCTAGGTTTACAAGGGAGACCACATGATTTATCTCATGCATTGTAGCTTGTGAAATAGGTGTTTAATATTACGTTCAAAAATACTTTTTCTTTTTGTCAGATTTTAAAGGAATTTTCTCCTAAGCTCACTCACGAAACAGATGGATTGGTATTCAATGCAGTTGATGAGGTAACTATGCGCTCTGAGGCTGTATGCACACGAGCGTCGTTTTTGAGCGTTTTTAAAATCGTCTATTTCATTGTTTCGACGCCCTGTCCGCACGGTTTAAGGAAAAATATTACTAATATGTTAAATTATCTTCAACTTCTATTGTAAATTGACGGTGTTTGAAACACCGTTATAAACGTTATCTTGTGAACATAGCCTGTATACATGAATTTGAGGTATTGAAATGAGTAAATAACATGATCCTGGTAATCGTGTGGTCATCCTAACAATAGTAAGTGCTTGTTTCGTTTCATTAAGACTTATTTTAATACCTCAAAACCATCCTCTACACTTCGTTGAATCTCGGGTAACCGGGCTCATGTAAACAACCCTGAACAGATCTGTTCGAGTCGCTTGACTTGCAATGCACATGCGAAAGATCCAATTAAAATGAACGTGTTACTGCTTTTACCAATAATTAAGAAGGCCATATTCAATACATCGGAAGTGAATTGGATTCCGACAAATCCTGATCATGTCAACACAGACCTTATCCCTGCTTTAACTGGCACGTGAAGTAACTAATTTTAAATCACATGCTCTAAAATGGCTGTAAATGGTTCAATCGCGTTGTTTGAGGGGTTTTTCGGTTCATTTTAATATTTTGTCGTTGTACTCTATGGAACTGCGGGGGAATAAAATGTTTTTTTCATTCTTAGGAATACATTCCGGGACCATGTCCTGGTCTCCTCAAATGGAAACCTCACACATTGAATTCAGTGGATTTTCAACTGCACATTACAACTGTTCAACAGGAAGGGTGAGATGAATTTCGACGCTTTCTCCCCTGGTAAAAAATTATAGTCTCTGTTTGTTAAATACGGATATTTTTCAGTTGTTTGAAAGAGAAAGTTGGGGCGTTGCGAGTTGGGGGCTATGATCAAGCGGTTGGATTTATTAAAGTGAGTTTTTTTATCAAACCATTTATATATAGAGAGTTTTGTCTTTCTCTTTCAATGTGAATATATCGTTGTTCGTTTAATTTACGTGAAGAAGTTGGAATTGAGGGCTGTTTCCCACTGTCGCGTTTTTTGTACGTGCGTACACGCACGTAAAAGTTGAAATAATAATTTAAATGATACTTATGAAATCAGCGATTCAATAGATGCATACAGGGTTGGATTCTGTTGATGATTTTGGTGTGGTTTTTTTTCTGGAAAGTTTCAGCTTTTACGTCCGTGTATGCACGTGCAAAAAACGCGACCGTTGAAAGCAGCCGTTGGAATTGAGCTTTTTTTTGTAGATCACGAATGAATTAAAAAATCTGGACAAGAAAATCATTGAATGTACCTACAATGGTAAAGAATGGGTCTTCATGAGACAGCGCGAAGACAAGAGTTACCCAAACAGCTACGCTACCGCACAAAGTAAGATTCCTCTAACATATTAAACTGCTATCGATCGTTTAAGTCAATTTTTAGTTTTCAGGAATGAATTGTTTGGTTGTGAAAGAAAACTTAGGAATTTACAGGATGCTTATCGGAGGAGTTGGAATGTAGTAGTATTTATTATTGAGTAGTCTTCAAGGATGTTATAACAGGATCGAATTTATTTGCTTCTGAAACGAAAAAAAATGTTTTCTGGGTAGAGAAACTTACATGTGCTTATATAGATAAGGGGGAAAAGATTTTAGTTTACATATATTTCCCAATCATTTCACAATAAATAAACTGACTATGGCTTATCCTCTTAAAGTGAATAATCTGTAAATTTGCTTTTTTCTTTCGATCATATTAAACGGTTGTGGAAGAATGTGGTCAGGACCAGACCATCAGGAAATGGGCATAGTGTTGCCTTCTGAACGATGTAAAACACCGTATTTGAAAGCTCTTGATTTTTTAACCAAAACAGGTGTTTGTCAGAGTATCAAGAAGCCTGTGACCCAAGAATGGTTGCTGGAGGTGGTGCAGAAACACAGATTTCGACCAAACCATCATGGCGGACACGCTCATGGCCAGCACTCGGCCACAACAACAAGATGAGATTTTACACTTTTTACTCATTCTGTATAGTCAGTAAACTAGGGACTATGCAGTCGTTCATACTGTAGACTATAGCTGTGTATATAAATAGGACACTGAGAGGGATTAGGGAATAGTGTCCTGTTATTGATTGCCAGAAAACGGCTTTCTTGTACAGTTGCAATTTTAACATTTCTTATCGAGCCCATTTTTTTCGCCGTTTTGGGTAGCGAAATAAAACACTACGTATCACGGTGTCTGGAAATTATATAGTGATCTTAAGATCTACGACGTCAGCTTCGATGGCGATGCCAGCTAATGATGAGTAAAAAGAACCATGGAGGAAGTCCCATGGGAGTTTAGCGTAATTGCTGTTTACAAGTCGGTAATGCAAATCATTTTATCTCATATGGATGCATGCCTTATGTAACAGAACTTTTTCTGAGCTCGCCTGCTAGTCCTTTTCGAAATGGCCGCCAAAAATTCTTCAACAAAATCCATAAACATTGGCAATGTTTCCGCAGAATGTGTTCATTTTCTCTTTCAAAAATAATTACGTTGTATTTCCCCACTAAAATGTTTGTTTTCGAAATTATATGTACTACAAATTCCACAATTTGTATATAAAAACTAAACATTCGTGCACGTTTGGTATGTCCAGGATTTATTTAAAACCTTCACAGCCAGGTGGTGCAACTTCAATTTCGATTTAGCAGAACAAACCTTCCCACCTTTGCTCGTTTTGTTTTTACCTTTATTATTGTACTAAATTCATAAGATTGATAATAGACAAGTTTTCTTTTCCGACCATTAATTTGAAAGAGTTTATATTCGTCGTTGGCGTTGTCGTCGTGTTGCCGTCCTAAATCTTATGCATCATTATATACAATAAGTTGAATAATCTAATTTTTTATATGGAAGCAAGTGCATTTATTTTTCTCTGTAAGAATGCTTCCCTTCAAACCATAAGCACTATAGAAATGACCAAAAACACAGTCTGAATTTTATTGCTCAATGACAAAGCTACACGGAATTTTTCTTTGTCCTTTATCGTACATTTCGTACATTGTAAATTTGTTCGACGTGGGTTCTTTATCTATTTAACCAATAGATACATTTACCGCGTTTTCTGTGTAGTAATAGTTAAAAGACAGGTTAAACGGATGGTGTCTAAGTAAAAACAGAAAAGGGAATAATCTTAAATTAAAGGGTTATGTAGAACGGAGACTTCTGTCGACTTTCCTGAATGTCCTTCAAAAGAGGTTTTATACATAGTGTAGAGATATAGTGTCATTTAGCGATTACATAGATAGTGTGTTTCCTAGTCGATCGTATATTTATTTTGAAGAAAACTTCATGTAAATTATAATATATATAAACCTTAAGAACGGCGTTATCGTTTCACTGCGTTGTATATTAGGGAGGTTAAGATCGACTTCCGCTACGAGTACCGATACCAATACTCAGTCACGCGCATGCGCAGACGTAAAAATCGTCCAAAATGTGATAACACTGGAAGTCGCGAGTATCGTTTTGGGGCTGAAAATGGAAGTGGATAGGTAGGAGAAGTACCGAATTATATTTACTGTATTATTGTCATTTTCTACAGTAGTTTTCTAATAATATTATTAGTTTTCAATTGTATAATGTTTCTGCTTTGTTTGGTGAGACTTAAGGATTGTGATTAGAGTTTTTGATGTGAATACAGCCGCTATACTCCGCCATGTTTATTTACTTCTTGGAAGTCACAATCTTAACGCTTTAAAATTTCCGCTCTGCCAAACTGTAATACGTCATCTATTTTTGTATCGGTATTGGTAGTGGAAGTAGATCTTAATTCTTAACCTCCCTATTGATTGATTTGAATACGAATTGAAGTACTAGTGCTAGTCCATTTTAATTGTTAATATCAGCACGGTTGATGATCCCGGCAGCAAAAACAATAGCGAGTTTGAGATTCACCGAATCTAATTTCTACAGTTTCCCAACAGAGATGGGATTCTACAGACTCTTTAATTTTTCATAAACAAAGTCAGAGCGGTGTGTAAAACAAATTAATACTGGTTTCCTAACACTGGTAGCATTTCTTATGTCACGTCCGGTTTTGTTGCGGACAAGAAAAATTTGGCGAGAATTAACATTCGTCGACAACTGTTAAAGGAGATTTTTAGCATTCTACACACGAACAAATTTTGTTAATGACACCTACAAACACAAAATATTATTCAAAATATTTTGTTTTTATGTTCCCTCATTTCTCAAATAAGCTGGATTTCCACTTGCAGAGAAATATTTCGCTAGCGAAATACTTGCATATCTTCTTTTGAAGTTGAAGGAAAAACAAATGTGTAATTTCGCTGTGTGTAATTTCGTCCAATCACAATGCTTGACAGTTTATTTTAATTAGATGCAAACACTCGCAGCGAGCTCGTGAGTTAATTTTGCGATGAGTGGAAAAGAGCCTTAAAAGGGACTGGTTATTCTATTTGGCTCAAAATAATTTCAAAGATGACGGCCAAATAACCTTATTTATCAATTAATAACAACCATTCAACGGTGAAAATGTGAATAGTCAATTTGGATTGACTATTCCAGTCTCCTATTGTTGATGAATTGCTGCCTTAGAGAGTCAGATTTTTTACATGAAGCAGTAAAAGCGTCTTATACTGCATTGCTGTACATCCAAGTAAAAATCAATTGAAAAAGTCGAATTTTTAATGACCTCTGCGCGATCATAAACAAAAGAAATAGCAATTAATCACGAGTTTGTCAAACCTGCTCTTGTTGAAGTGAGCAGAATAAATTACCCATGCAAATCAAGAAAAAGTTCATTTGCCATTTGTAGTTCGCAGTTTGCTGTAAAGTGTAAATGTCGTTCTCGAAGTGTCTATATATACACTGTTGACACGCTGTGTAAAGAAACTTGATGTTGGCGTACAATCTCCATGATGGCAGAACACGTGAAGTTTGGATGTAAATTATATATTCAAAGACAAGACTTCAACTTTCAAGAACCAGCGCAGCAGCTGGCGTGTTGTTTTTTTACATTTCAAATACACAACACCCAACAGAACAAGTTGTGTGCGGTAAAAAGTTCCTTTCTCGTTCGTTCTTGGCAATCATGGGTGTTTACGGCAGATACGGCAAGGTAGTGTGTGTCATTTCGTCTATCCAGATCGGCCTGGGTGGATTGATGATCTGCCTCGGCATCGCTTTGCGTGTCACTGTGTGCAGCTGGGTCACAGACGCTTCGTTTGGATTCTGGGTCGGATTTTTGGTAAGTCGCGTTTTGTAGCCGTTTGGGGAAGCGCTGTTTAGGAAAAGACAGCCTCTTCTGATTTAGGCAAGATCCCGACCAGCTAATATAAGAAGCTCTGTCAATTTTTCTCAAATGAAGGGCAAAAACACACGTTCTGTTAGGCGTTAGGCTTCTGTTCACATGATCACATGTATTCAGTAAAGGCTATATAGTTTCCACTCAGGAATATTCTCCTTTAGATCGCACAGGACAGGAAAGTTTCCTTTTTATAAACGCCGCCTGAGAACTCACCGACAAAGGAAATTTTCCTGAGTGGAAACTAGCCTAAAATACATGATCCTGGTACTCGAGTCGTGTAGACATATCAGTCTTAACAATATGCATGTGCTTGTTTTGTTTCCAAAAGACTTATTTTAATACCTCATAATTATCTCCTAAACTGCTGTGTTGTTAAAAAGCAGCAGGGGGCAATTGTTTAAGCTGGGTTAGCGGTAATCCAGTGCTTTAGTTCGTGTGCTTTTGAGCCACTCTTCGTTTTAAAACTTTAAAAACTATCACTTATATCGATCCAGAAAATAGTTATGAAAGAAGTGTTCAGCCTTGTAAACAAACGATTGAAAATATAAATCTAAAGATTTGCTTTAACCCAGGGTTAAGCTAACCGGCTTTTGAACAACTAGCCCCAGTTGCAAGAGTGAATTTTTTATTACTTTAAAACTGATAGAAATTTGCTGAGAATCGAATCAAACTGTCTGATTAAAGAAATGCAAAACGAGATAAATTTGATGCAAGTATTCATGTGCCAAAGCCTGGTTTTACATTGACATTGTCCTGTGTCGTGAACGTGTCAAGGTCATGGCTGATGTGATAAAATATTGATATTTTTTCATATTTTTATATGTTTGCAGTCAATAGTTACCGATTTGAATACAGAAATAAAGACGAATTTACATTCGGACTATTTCTCATTGGCGAAAATGACATGATCACGACAGTTACAACTTCATAGAAACCAGTCTTTATAAGAATTTTGGCTCAATTTATCAGAAAAGATATGTAATAACTTCGTTCTGTTTTTAGACGTCTTAATGGCAGTGTAAATAGTTTAGGGTTTATACGGGCATCTCTATCAAAACGGAATTAATCATGTATACACTAACGTGAAATTTACACAGCAAAGTAATTGCATGGCATAAACACTCCTGAGTGAGCAGTGTTCGTGAATCATAAGATGTGTTTCCACTTCACTAAATTCTTTGATTTGGACGAAAATATTGTATTCAATTTCCAATTATGAGAAGTTCGCAGAAGCGAATTAACTTGACCAATCAGGATTTAAAAGAAGATTAAGCGATAGGTTTCCTTGAATCGAAGAATTACGCCAAGTGGAAGACCACTTAAAGATGGTTTTCAAATGACTTTATAGCGGCCAAGGGCATGAATTTTCCTTTTCAACTGTCCATCAATTCGACGGACTTAAAAGAGGCAGGTGAAAAACATGTATACGGCGCTAGTCACACTGATCGAAAATATGCCAGGTTGAAAAAATATTTTTGTGTTAATTTCACTAGGTTTTAATCGGAGGAATCTTTGGCTATTGCAGCGCCACAAAAGACAACTACACCTACGTAAGTGAAGTGATATCCATATCCATATTTTTGGAAAGCTTATGGTCTTCATATAGCTTGAAATTCTCCCGGAGGAGGATTGAAGGGTTTTATGTCATTACTTTGGGTCAAAATATCCCAAGAACCGGAAACTTTCAGGGGGGCAAAACGGAAAATTAGCCTCATGGGGGGGGGGGGTAATGATAAAAGAACGGCTTAAAGTCGAAGTCAAGTCTGTATGTAAAGAAATTGTTTGTTAAAATTTTGAACTTCCATTCTTTCTAAAGTACATTATGCTGTCTGAATATCTAACATTATTTAGGTTCGCAATTCAAACCGAGAAAAAGCGAATTTGGGCCATTCAGTTCGCATTAGAAAGCCTTTACATTGTTATGAGCAGAACCGTTACGCACGATGCGCCTCATTTCCACTTCAAAGAACTTCTTTCTCTTTAGATTTCCTTGTATCTGGGCTCGAATTCGTTCAGCATCATGTTCACCATGCTGGCAATATTTTGTCATTCGATTGCCTTCGTTCACTTCAACCACCAGATGCAACCGCTCCCGCCAAGGAACCACACAAACGCCACCAACTCCACCAACAGTTCACTAACAACAGCAACATGGAATATGAATTCTCCAATCAGGAATCGACGGGGCGCCAGAACCTATCAGCAACCCCAATCCTCCCTTAAACAAAAATAACACCTACACGAACACAAAACATGACCAACTCCTCTGTCGTGCTTAGCTCTTCCTCCACTTTTGACACCCGTTCGCCCCCGGGGTATAAGGGACCGCAATGCTATACACATAAAACCTGGAGCGATTATGCTAATGGCATGCGCGGTATGTTCCTGGGCTCTTGTATGATATCCCCTTTTGCCTCGTTGAGATCCTCATGTGTATCACGTCATCAGCGTGCTGCTGGGCCGCAACAAAAGTTAGACCAATTGGGGTGAGTACACGAACGTTACTGCACAACCCACGAATCAAAACTGTTGCCAGAGATTCGAATGATAAATATTTAATTCCGAACAGGTTCTTTAAAAAGAGATGTTAAACGTAAATTCCAAAATTTAAACGTATTAAACTCGATTTGAGCTGTGATTTCGAGCTGTGCACCACAACTCTTGGGAGACAGAACTGTGGACGTAGATTACACGGTCACATACAGTACTGTACACTTTTCAAATACTAGTATATTTCGCGCCAAAACACACTTGCGACGACGAAAAATAATAATAGAAAAAAACCTAGGCGAATTTTCAACTCCGTCGCTGACGCCGGAGTAATTATTTTCCCAAGCCCAAAATTAGATTTAAAGTATGTTAAAAGACGAGTCTACAAAGTCATGTCAAACAAAAAACGAGTCTTACAAAGTCATATCATATGTTCATGATGATAAAAAGCCTAACAATATGATATTGCTTTTAATGTTGCCATTAAAATCATTTTTTTCATTTCCATCCAGCAGTGGAATTCGTCCCTCACCTGGACGATCTTTTTCCTCGGTCATTTGTTGATAGTCTCGCATTCTCTCTTCAGATACGCGGAAAAAGAGCAACGATTCAGGGAACAGTATCAGAAATGCTTCGTGAACGAAATTCTGAAGTGGCTGTCAGGAGACGTCATGTAAGTCTCAGGGTTGTTTTTTCCTCACTGTAGTAGGTACTCGCTTCAGGGGGGACACTAGAGCGATAATTGGCAGTTTGTATATTCAAATACTCAGTTCTACCCGAGGGATTTCTTCTGTAAGCTATTGCACTAAAAGATGATCCGTCTGGAAGAACTGAATATATGAATAACCGTCACCAAATTCCCCCAGGCCAATTCTTTCCATTGGTAACGAGGGTGATGCATGTTATTCTTTTTCAGGGTGAAAGTGTTCTGTCAACTTCCATAGCTGTCAACGATAATGCGGTAAGGCATACTTGCCCTTTGACTTTAAAGTCGACAAACTGTCCAGCAGGCAAAGCTTAGCTTCTAACTGGAATAACCTTCTAAACGAATTAAAGCTTCTGATTGGGTACTCTTACTGGACCAATCAAAAGCCTTAGAAACGTTTGCACTTTACTACGATTATTTTAATTTCGGTATAAAATTCCGAATCGTTCAAGGTGTAACTTAGAGCATGTTGCATAAAAAAAGAAAGCTGACTTTCCACTATATATAGCTGGTGCTAGAATTGGCCGATAAACATACACAAAATAGACCGATTCAGCCTAATGACGATAATATTATTGCAAATTCATTGCCAAATACACATCTCTCAAAAGTATCAATAAACCTTGGAAATGGGTAATTAGCATATGAGGCTGACGATATGTATATGAGGCTGAGGTATATGATGACGATATGTATATCGATCTACTGACACAACTGTCAAGGTTTTAAACAACTAGTCAGAGTTTTACCCAACTAATCAGAGTTTTACCCAACGTTAACTGAGCTTTTCAGAGTTTTTCACAACTGGTTAGAGTTTTACATCGATATTCAGTTATCCAATGTCTTGTTGTGATGGTATTTTCTTTCGACAAAAGGTTTCTACGACAGATGAAAATGAAGAAGGCAATAACAACAAACTTCCGGTATGTACGTTTTATACTTCCATTTTTACATCAGGCAGAATAACCTAGGTTTGACTCGGCTTAACCTCGGTTTTGCAGGGATGGAAAATATTTCCTCCCAAACCAAAACTGAAGAAAACTTTTTCAAGATATTATTGTTATTTGTAATAATAATAACATTTTGATAAGCACGGATCATATTTATATTTATATTTATAGAATATATTTTATATTTATATTTATAATATATAATTTGAAGGTTTTTTAAAGGGTCTTAATTTCGAGTGGAATCATACACAACTCAATTCAAGCCAGGAACAGTTGAGAAAAATTAGTCAACTATCGGCCCTACGGCAGATAGTATACTTTATATACTTTCAGATTTTGTGAAAACTTTTACTCTTTTTTCGAATTTGAATAGCCTAGCACTGCATGCAAGTGCTCCATAGTGTTCCTGAAAATATATATTTGCTGTTGCCCATCGCATGTGCTATATAGGCTATTTAAAGCATTCAAAAGCGTCTCTCTTTTTGACGTTATATATGTATAGAGCACGCAAGCCTAATACCATCAAATATACCTCTGCAAGCAATATTTCAAGGTACCAAATAATTTTGCTTCAAGGTACCAATATAGTTTTATCCTTAATATCTTCATAATAACAGACTGGTTAAAATGCGTAAAATATAAAAGGCTATATGTCTTAAAGCAATAGATGCAATATAATAAATCTTCAGTTACTCTAAAGTATATTTAGCAAGTTTCGAGTGAAACCGCGTTGTGTATTTGTAAAGGCATATTAATTTTTAGAGTTTCTTTTTTAAATCGAATTTTTTAAAACATATAAATAAGCGTCAATATTAAACTACCAAATTTTAATCTTTTTATAACAGAGTGAGTCTACATCAGCCCAAATTCTCGAGGAACCAGTTGGTATTCGACTACAGACTTTTGATAAATGATATTCATTTTTTAAATTACATGCATATAGGAAATAATCCTACATGGAAAATTATAAATTAATAGCCGTATAATACAATATCGCTAGTGTAATATTGAGTTGGTATGAAATTAAACCTCTTTACAATCGCTTTAGAAATAAATTAAAACTGTCTAAATGTTAAAACATAAGTATGTAAAGGATATGAAGCGTTGTTTTCTCATGCCTTGTCATGCATACAGTAAACTCGCGTTTCGCACAGACACTATTTTATTCCGATAGAAATGCATTTCGTGATCACGAAATATTCGACACGAATTTTAATTTACTGTGTCCTCTTTGTTCATTTCATTTATCCTAGCTAGCTGTTACTGCTGGCTATTGTGATATATATACGCTTTAGCCTGGTTCAATCTTGCACATTTCTTTCATACATGCATAATTATGAGTATATTCAAGAAATTTCTGGCAAATAAGTTATTCTGATTGTCACACGCTGCCGTGTGAATTAACACGTTCTCAAAATCTGCTGCAAATGTTTCTCAACATTTTCATAGCTTCGTTTCTAAGCAAAGGGTTCTTCCAAAAGAATACCAGAGAATCTAGCGTCGGGTTGAATAGAATTAGGCAAGTGCACCAGCCGTTGAAAATGATTTCGTCGAAATCGCTTAACTCTATCCGCAACGGTTGGAACATCACAGGTAGAAAAAACGACATGCTGGAACACATTACGACGATGAAACACGATTTTGCTAGTTTAAATTTCATCAAATATTGCGCATCAGACAAGTTTATGTTTGAAGGTTTTGTTGTAGTTGAAGAATTTAAACCACGTCCTTCATAAGTCACACTTTTACCTTGATTACTGGAATCGTATTTCTCATCTGATCTCTTTTCTTCTTTATTCGATGATTTTTCACTATTCTCCAACGACCTGCCTTGATTATCTGCGGATATTTTTTGATTATCCGTTGATATGTCTTCATTATCTGATGATCGTCTCTGCTCATCTACCGATTTGCCTTGACAACCTGACGAACCATCTTGATTACCCAATGGAATAACTTGATCATCTGAGGGTCTTTCTTGATTATGCAAAGAGGCTTGATTATCTGATATAATATCATTATTATCGGTCGAACATCCTTGATTACTTTCTGTTCTTCCTGGATTATCTGTGGATCTCCCATGATCATCCAAAGATCTGCCTTGATTTTCTAATCGATCATTGTGACAGTCTTCAAGGCTATTGTTCTGCCGCATCATTGTTCCGTCATGAGTACGATCCGGTTCGCTTCGTTTCAATCGAGTTTTCAAAACCCGGCTTATTTTAATATATATACATACGGTGCTAATGAAATGCATCAGAAATACAAATGCACAACATAAAAACAGCATCTTTTGACTAACGGGAAACGAGCAAACAGCAATGCATAAAAACAGCAAACAACAGCATGTTATGTAAAGCAATAGCCTCCGTTTTGTCACTTTATTACGATGATAAATTGGGCTGACGATGCTTAGGTATCTCTCGATGTTCATCGCAGATAGAATAGCCACAGAAAATCCGTAGGTTATGAAAAAAGTAAGATAGAAAGCAAAACATATTCCGCAATTTGTCCTGTGGACTAACTGGCCTGCGAGAACGCTAGAAACAGTGTCGATACTATTGCGCCAATTCCTAAATCGTTCAATGATTGGACATATATTAAAAAGTAATACGGCTTTTTTCTCAGTTGATTCGAGGTGCGAAATGTTATGACTGTTGTGAGATTTAAGACGACTGTCAAGATAGCTCCGAGAATGTTTACAAAGCACAACACGACGTGATTTGCATAATAGATATTCGAAGGAAATATTCCTACCATTTTGAATTCGTAGTTGAAAGTGTTGCACCTTTTTATAAGTACGTTATTTTCGAAAGCAGTGGAATTGTTGTTCATGGTGAGGTCTTGCCGAGTTCTTTTACCGCTGCTAATGTCTCTTCTTCAATCAAATGCAGTGCTTTAATGATCGGTTCTGTCGTGTTAAACCCTTTTAAATATTATACGCTTTATAATAATCGGGTGGCCCTGCAGGTGAATTTTATACCGTCGGCGTAGTTTTTTGTATATTGGGCCTCGTATAACAATTGAAATGAGTTAATGCATAGTGTCTAAGTCAGTCGGTCGATCAATAATCTAGCCCATCTCATCGCTTTTATGTTGCTTTTCACGAACATATGATCAAGTATAATCCGCAGCTCCGCAAGTAAACTTCCGCAGTCCCAATTGAAGAATACAACTATGTGTATTGAAAGGGGGTTGAACACTAGCGTTTTTTTAGACAACACCATCTAAATCTATTGCTTCCACATTACTAGACAAGTTATTCTGAGTAAATAAAGAGTTCCGTTGTATCAATGTGCGGTTCCCATAGTGACGAGAACTAGACGAACACACAAGACGATTGAAATGGCAGGGAACGATGTAACGAATTTTATTTATAGCTTTCATTAAATATATTTTTCCTAGGTACTGAACTATAGAACAATTAAAATTGATGCAATATATGAAATTGGCAAGCTCTTGATATAAAACTTCACAGATCTTACTGACAAAAACTGTCGCTAATAGACGGCGACAAACGTGGACTTCGATATTTCTTTATTTCAAGGAAAAGCTAAACTTGATAATATTTATAACATAGTTTCTTTGCAGTCTAATAAAAACTTTCTACCTCTAATCGGAATTTATGTATATGACGGATTTAGATCTTTACTAGTCTTTAAGTTTATTTCTAGGCACTGTGTCCAGTCGATTGCTGATAGGGTCTTTTCGCCGTTTCTTTTTACACCCAATAAGAACTTCGAATTTGTTGGATTTCCTTGCACTGGCGCTGTAACGTACGTTATCAAGTTCTGAACTAAATTCAACAGCAAATATTTTTCATGAATTTCTTAGCCTCGCTTCTGAGCAAACTATTCTGCCAGAAGAATACTAGTGAGTCCAACGATGAGTTCAATAAAATTAACGTTGTCGACCAACCGTTGAAAATGATTTGATCTAAATCACTTAACTCCATCCGCAGCGGTTGGAAGAGAACGGGAACAAAGAATGAGAGACACGAGCACGTCACAACGATGAAGCATGACTTCGCTAATTTAAATTTCATCAAAAGTTCCTTTTTCGTCCGTGGATCTAAGTTTTTGTCCGAGGGTTCACTCTGCTGACAAAAGTTGCTTTCGCTCTTTAAAGTTGCAACCCTTTTCTCGTTAACTCCACGATAAGCTGAAAAATTTGAATCACAGCCACGGTTAGTCGGGCAATTTCAAGATTAGTAATATTCTTACATATTAATATTATATGTATAGAGATAGTATTGGCGGCAATTTGTTTACGTTTTTTTTTCAAGATGGCGTCGAAATATAGAAGCGAGATTCAAAACATAATTCTCAAATTTCAAGGTCTATTTTCATTCAGCACATAATGATATCTTTTGGTAAGAATATCATAAGCTATTCACAACTCGTGCATAAAAATAGTACGCACTTTTAGTAAAGTAGTCGACTAAAAGTCGGAGCCGACTGCAGTGTGGAGCCAAAGGTCTGAAATGGCCCATTTTCACCACGCTGTTGTTTTTACTATCTAAAGTCTCCCGTATACCAAAAGTTGATGCTACATTGACTAGTTGCCTGCATGATGTGTATAATTTTTGCAAAGCGAAATTATTTATCAAACAAGATAAAGTTTGGAGGACAATTAGATACAAGTATCTCCCTTCCTTCTCCAAAAACTAGGTGGCCCTCCCCCCATCCCCTATAGGATTGGCGCCCTTGCTCAAACTATCATTACCTCTTTCATCAAGTGCTTTATCCTGACAATCTGATGACTTTCCTGGATTACGAAACATTTTGCCTTCATTTTCGGGTGTTTTTCCTTGGTTACCTGTAGATGTGCCTTCGTGATCTGACGAGCCTTCTTGATCATTTGACGACTTTTTTTTATTATGAACCAATTTGCCTGGGCTGTCCGACTGGCTGTCGTGAAATTTCTCAATTTTATTACTCGGGTGAATTTCAGTTTTGTTCTGAGCAGTTTTAATAGGCTCGCTGCGTTTAAATTGAGACTTTCCAACCAGGAATATTTTTGTGTATATGCATATGGTACTTATGAAATGCAACAAAAATATAAAACCACAAAATACAAGCAGCAATTTTTGACTAACTGGAAAGGAAATACTGGCAACGCTTATGAATAGCGAACTAAAGCCTAATGTGTACATTAAAAGTCTTTTTTTGGTCACTTTATTTCGGTGGAAAATTGGTTTTACGATGCTTAGAAATCGCTCAATGTTCATTGCAGATAGGATAGCCAAAGAAAAAGCGTGTGTTATGAAAAGCGATAGGAAAAAAGCGAAATATATTTCGCAATATGTCTTGCCGACCAACTGGTTAACGACAACTGTTGAAAACAGAGTTAAAACGACCATTCCGATTCCCAAATCGTTGATCGATTGAACGAAGATGAGAAAGTAATACAGCTTCTGTTTCAGTTGATTCGAGGAACGAAACGTCATGATTGTCAAGAGATTTAGGAAGACTGTTGAGGCTGCCACGAAAACATTTATCATGCACAGTACGACGTGATTTCCATAGTAGACATTCGAAGGAAATCTTTTTACCATGCGAAATTCGTACTCAAGAAAGTTGCAGCTTTTTAGAAATGCGATATTTTCAAAAGCGTTGGTTGTATTGTTCGCCATATTGTTCTATATCCTTCCGCGCGCTGTTCTATACGGCTGCCGATATGCATTTTCGTTTTAGCTTGGCTGAAATCTTTTATAGCTTCAAGCGGCATGCTTATCAATATTGGTCTTTGGAATATTATGTTGGACAGATTATTTTTTCCCAATCTTCATGTGTTAACGTTGAAATAATCAGTAGGCTGCGCATTTTTATATATTGACTCTTCGTAAAACAGTGAAATTAAATCATATTAGTTCATTTAAGTCAAATAGCTTTATCTTTTATATTTAATCTCGAACATATATGAATGACGCGCTTTGGAACAAATCACATTAACTCTATGATCTTTAATATTTTTCGTCAATACATAGCGACATAATTTATTGATTTTAACACCTGTTTACGGGCACTTGCACGCGAATCTAACGATTCATTCCAGCTATAGAGTAAATTTTGATTTAGGCAAGAGTAACTAGCTACATTCAACGCAAAATCTAGAAAGATCATGATTCTAAAATGGGTAAAAATATTGCAGGTTTGTGTTGGGAAACCTTCTAAAATACTGGATAATATAGCCTTATATGCATGGGATGTTCACCTGTTTCAATTTATATTACGCGCGAACAAAACCATCTTCCCCATGTATTTAAAGACAAAATGATATGGGGTGCTCGTTTCTCATACGAAATACTCTCGTAGAAAATTCCGCGACCTGTTTTTAAACTCCTGAATGGGAGGTGTTCAGAATATACCGCAATTTTAAAATATTTATGCGTCACAGACAATTAACGTTATATATTAAACTGGACACATGCAGTTACCCCATGCAGGGCCACCTATATAGTATCTTGGCTACTCTTTCATATTATAAGTAAGCGCAGAGAACTAGTTTAATGTTTGGACTCTTTAGGGGGAAAAACAGTACATCAGGTTTACCATATTTGTGAAAAAAGTTTCAAAAAGCTTGCTGAATATAGAATCCATTGTCTGAGAAGATCCCATGCAATATCGTATAAATCGCCTATTGTTAGTCTTGAGGATAAATGCATCAATTTTCTTGTTATTACATAGAGTGCACTGACGAATTAACTACGTTATTATTATTATAATATTATTCTAATTTGTACCGACATTATTTCTAGGGATTTTCAATTTAGGCATGTAAATCTTCTCAATAATGATACTGTTGAAAGAATTTTTAATGAAAAATTTAGTTTAAGGTATGGTTCATTCCGTTGAGAAAAAAACAGTACATAAGGTTTATTACCATTTTTGTGAAAAAAAACACAATAATTGCAAGGAGTTTCTCTTGTTAAAGATACATATTATATACTAGGCGATTAATTTGCATAGTTTTTAGACAATGGCAGAAGGTGCTCATATAGGTTAAAATATCGAAAAGTAAACTGCAATAAGGAAAATCCGTGATATGCCTTGGAAACCGTGCTTAAAGTTTTATCTACTTGCCCTTTCTCTTCTGACATGGGCACTTACAATCCACAATAAAATAATTTACAATAATGTTTATTTGTTTATTCTGGGCCAAAGTTATGCGCCATGCTATGTGTAAAGGCCCACACAGACCGGACGCGATTTGGTAACGCGGCGCGATTTTTCATTTTAAGTTTTTAATTTTCCAAAAGCAAAAAAATTTTAACCTATCATAATATTCTTGTTGATTATTTGGCGATAATACATTTTGACTGCCCTGGCGTCAATAGATTCCAAATTTTGCTTCCAGAAATTAATTTATGTCCTTCTGAAAACTGAAAATTCGCGTCGCGTTGCCGCATCGCGTCCGGTGTGTGTCGACCTTAAAAGCTGTGGTATTAATAAATGTTGCCGCAGAAAGTGTCATGCATATGTCTTTTTCAAAACCTTCAGGGGCCAGTTGTTCAAGGCTAGGTTAGCGCTAGCCCTGGGTTAGATTTTAATCCAGTGTTTTAGTTTATGTGCTTCTGAACCACTGTTCGTTTTGAAACCTTAGAAAATATTACTTCTATTTGACCAGAAAATATTTATAAAAAAAGATTATCAACTTTGTAAAGAAGCGATTTGAAAATCGATGTAAAGATTTGCTTTAACCCAGGGTTAAGCTAACCTTGCAGTGCTCGTTGAGGTGGGTGGTTGTGTTTAGTTCATGTATCCTCACTGACAGAAGAGGGGACATTCGTGACAAGTGCTGTTGGTTGAATGCATGAAGTTATTGTGGGACTAAACAGTTGTTCTTAACTCGAAGATTGGCACCACTTCGCTATATTAATTCACTTTATTATATACAGAACTTTCTGTCCGTTAACCCAGGCCTTTATTAGTTTTTATTCATCAGTTATTGCCGCGATGAAGGCCCAGATTAAAGAATCGAATTATTGAAAGCTCTTCGTATGTAACGAATACGTGGTGATTCTACAAATTAATTGAAAGACTACAAAAACGCCAGATTTCGCGTAGGTTAATCACTGACACTCGCCAGGGCTGTACTGGATTTTGTTAAGCTCTTCTCTGTACTTGTGCTTCGTTGAGGTGAGGTCGTGTTCGGGTCATCATTGTCAGTGACAGAATAAGATATCGAATTCATTATCAGCGGTGTTGGTTGAATGGATGAAGTTCTTTTGTGACCAAACATTGTTTCAGTACTTGTCTTTGTTGGGCTATACTCGACCGAACCTCCTACGCCAACCCCTGTCAGACTTGATTCAGTACTGGTCTTTGTTGTACTATACTTGATAGAACTTTCTGCAACTCCTGTCATACTTGATACAATACTGGTCTTTGTTGGGCTATACTCGATGGAACTTTCTGCAACTTCTAGATCTGTCATACTTGATACAATACTGGTCTTTGTTGTGCTATACTCGATGGAACTTTCTGTAATTCCTGTCATACTTGATACAATACTGGTCTTTGTTGTACTATACTTGATAGAACTTTCTGCAACTCCTGTCATACTTGATACAATACTTGTCTTTGTTGGGCTATACTCGATGAAACTTTCTGCAACTCCTATCATACTTGATACAGTACTGGTCTTTGTTGGGCTATACTCGATGGAACTTTCTGCAACTCCTATCATACTTGATACAATACTGGTCTTTGTTGGGCTATACTCGATGGAACTTTCTGTAATTCCTGTCATACTTGATACAATACTGGTATTTGTTGTGCTATACTCGATGGAACTTTCTGTAATTCCTGTCATACTTGATACAATACTGGTCTTTGTTGAGCTATACTCGATGGAACTTTCTGCAACTCCTATCATACTTGATTCAGTACTGGTCTTTGTTGGGCTATACTCGATGGAACTTTCTGTAATTCCTGTCATACTTGATTCAGTACTGGTCTTTGTTGTGCTATACTCGATGGAACTTTCTGTAATTCCTGTCATACTTGATACAATACTGGTCTTTGTTGTACTATACTTGATAGAACTTTCTGCAACTCCTGTCATACTTGATACAATACTTGTCTTTGTTGGGCTATACTCGATGAAACTTTCTGCAACTCCTATCATACTTGATACAGTACTGGTCTTTGTTGGGCTATACTCGATGGAACTTTCTGCAACTCCTATCATACTTGATACAATACTGGTCTTTGTTGGGCTATACTCGATGGAACTTTCTGTAATTCCTGTCATACTTGATACAATACTGGTATTTGTTGTGCTATACTCGATGGAACTTTCTGTAATTCCTGTCATACTTGATACAATACTGGTCTTTGTTGAGCTATACTCGATGGAACTTTCTGCAACTCCTATCATACTTGATTCAGTACTGGTCTTTGTTGGGCTATACTCGATGGAACTTTCTGTAATTCCTGTCATACTTGATTCAGTACTGGTCTTTGTTGGGCTATACTCGATGGAACTTTCTGTAATTCCTGTCATACTTGATACAGTACTGGCCTTTGTTGTGCTATACTTAATGGAACTTTCTGCAACTCCTGTCATACTTGATACAGTACTGGTCTTTGTTGGGCTATACTCGATGGAACTTTCTGCAATTCCTGTCATACTTGATACAGTACTGGTCTTTGTTGGGCTATACTCGATGGAACTTTCTGCAACTCCTGTCATACTTGATACAGTACTGGTCTTTGTTGGGCTATACTCGATGGAACTTTCTGCAATTCCTGTCTGACTTGATGCAGTACTGGTATTTGTTCGGCTATACTCGATGGAACTTCTTGCAACTCCTGTCATACTTGGGTCAGTACTGGTCTTTGTTGGGCTATACTCGATGGAACTTTCTGCAACTCCTGTCATACTTGATATAGTACTGGTATTTGTTGGGCTATACTCGATGGAACTTCTTGCAACTCCTGTCATTCTTGATTCAGTAGTGGTTTTTGTTGTGCTGTACTTAACAGAACTTTCGGCAACTCCTGTCATACTTGATTCGGTACTGGTCATTCTTGAGCTATACTCGATGGAACTCTTAACAGCAATTGTCAGACTGGATCTCAGCACAACATTAGTTATCACTGCGATGATAGGTTCGTTTGTTGCTATAATATAAACACAAGACTTTATATACAAGAGCTATTTAAGGAGCGCCTCAACATTGGTATCCCCCAACCTTTTCCTAAATGCTTTGAAGACGTTTTATTTTGAACGTCTTGAAATGGCTGAGTTTCCTAGATGTCTTCATTTGGTTCGCTCGACATTTGAAAATTTTCTACGCCTTCCATATGGGAGGTTGAGCATTATAATTACGGAAGCCGAGAAAATATTTCTTACTCTGAAATATCATATGAATTTAGAAAGATAGAATACCTGATTTTTTTTCATGTTCTTTACTTTTCTTTCCTTTATTTTCTTCACCAGCCTATATATAGATATAGGAAAGAAATCTATGATGTGAATCCAGTGTCGATTTTGTCCCGCTATGTAAATTTTGAGTTATTATAATTATTCATGTCTTTAGAAATCTATTGTTTTCACAGTCAGTGCGCACTGAAATATTAGCATAGCGGGACAAATCGGATAGGCTGGCTACGCTACTGTGTGTGTCCAGTTATATATCATGCAGGCATTAATTAAAAAAGGGATTTTTCTTTTTACGTCTTGGGACCTATTTGTGCTTGTATGCGATTAGAAAAGGCGTATATTTCCACTTTAAGGCCATGTTACATACACGGTGCAATTTTTTTTTAACCTCCCAATGCAATTCTACATATATGAATTAGTGAAGAGGCTGCAAAATGTAAGTGTAAGAAACGCAATGGATATAAAGACAAAAGTTCGGTAGTTGCCAAATTTACATATTTCAAAAATAGAATTGCATTTGCACCGTGTAAACTGGCCTTTAGAGGGCCCGAGACTTTGAAGGAGGATTTTTTAAATCGAGTCCCTCAGAAACCAAATTTTGGCATATTTTGGGCAGCAATTTTTCCTATTAAGTTGCCTATTTAGGCGACTAAATTTGCCTGGGTTGGTGACCATTGAAAGCTCAGCTTTCGGTTAAATGCCAAAGTCTGGTAGTTGCAGTATCGCATAAATATAAAATTTCAGAAGCGTAGAGTTTTTTAAGAAGGTTGATTAGTGTGCTACTTTAATTGGCGCGCAGCGAGAAAATCTTTAAGATTTCACTCCTCTAAGTCGTTGAGAATACATTTCACAGGTACACACTGTCTTTTAATTTAGAAGAACTCATGAGCATTTTACAAGGACATAAAGTGTGTACAAGGACACGCTATTTTAATTAAGAATTAAAAATCGAGTCGCGTGCCTTTATGGTGTAATAATGCACGATGGGGGAATGTTGGGAGAATACGAGAGAAGCTCGAGTGCATTATTACACCATAAAGGCACGCGACGAGCTTTTTTAATTCTTTTATAATATAAGAAGAAATTATAGGGCAACAACAAAATTTATTTATTTGATCAATAATGAAATTCTCCTTACATGTTATTTAAGATGTTGCTTAGCAACAAAAACTTCAAAAGCCAGAAGCGTGCATTATGGCCTCACAATGCACGCGCGGTAGCCAATCAAATTGCTCGTTATATCATACTTATGTCTGATATAATGAGACGGATGACGTTAGCATCGTGCACGTCAGATGACGTGCTACTGGCGTCAGAATCGATAATGTCGGAGAGTGACGTCAACACCCTGTATTTTGTTTGAACTTGCAATGTCGTGCGTATATCAGTGGAAATTTTATCTTATTAGCGATATTGTATTGATAAAACTTTGCATGTTACCTGAAGGGCGTTTTTCAACATACGCTTACAATATACAACGTTAAATACAATACAAAACAATAAGTGGAAAAAGTTAAATTCTGAAAGACTATTACCACCATTATGTAATATACATAAATATATGACTGTGGCACAGTTTCAAAATTGTTTCACAATTGAACCTATGCAAGTGTGTCCCGTTAATCACCTAAGCGTATTTCAAAATTGCGGCGAGTTGTTCATGTCAAAATGACACATGAAGAAAGACCTTATTTAAAAAAAAAAACTTAAACTAAGTAAAAACTAGTTTATTCGGCGATATTCACATTGCCTTCGGTGAATAATTGTTAAATAAAGCCTATATTTGAAAATACGAAGATGGAGGCATCACTGGAGTGACAAACATTTCCAAAAAACATCTGGCTAAAACTATCCTTTGTGCACTGCATAATTATCAATTGCGTGTATATTTTAGGTATTTCAAAACCTTATGAGGCAAAAATATAGTTTCTGAAAAATTCGTACACATACTGACATAGTCTTTTTATAGAAACAAAAATCGACTGAGGATGACTTACATCAGCAATTTCTAGCTGGCGAAACAACATCCATTCTCCTTTCTTTAGTGATATTTCGTTTATACTTTTAGTGAAGTTGGTTAGTTGACAGTTTTCCTCGTCGATTTTCGATCTGACGTTAAAACCGACACATTTCTTTTCCTTTTTACAAAGGGCAAAACATCGCGCTGGTCCTATGGCGGCCGAACGACCAACATTGTGACTCGATAAAATTTCTTCCGAAGGTAATGGCGGACCCCCTGTTTGTAAAAGAATAATGTCGAGTGCTTAGAATTTAGGACATGACATTTCAGTATATGTCAACCATTAATTGCCAAAACAATAAACCACTTACCAACATAGATGTGACGATAAGCTTCTTTGACACATTGATTTGCTTCAAGTCTCGAAATAACGAGCGTCATCAAGATGACAGTGATCGATTTAAGATTTAATTTTGGACGCCAGTAATGCATCGTTTTCACTTAAAGACATAGACTCACATTGAAACTGTTGCCGAAATGTCCGAAAATTATAATTTACAGCAGGTGAATCGATAAACTCGCACGTCACGTGGTAATGAATTATGAACGAATTAAATGCAACATTTGCCTTATGCGGTTATTACGTTCACTTGAATAAATAGAGATTACTTCATGGTTTATATAGAGATTAATAGAGATTAATTTGACAACGACACGTTTTTAATATACAAAAACACAGCGAGCACCAAAATCGAAACTTTATCCATCAAAACATATTTATTACCGTTCAGTTTCTTTGTAATTTTGTTCAATAGAAGTTAAATATTCTTTCCGAAAGATTTGAGAATGTGCTGAATGTAAAAATATCTTGAATATGAGAATTATGTTTTGAATTTCACTCCTATATTTCAACGCCATCTTGAAAGAAAATGTAAACAAATTGCCGCCAAAATGACATAGCTACGACAATTTTTCACGTGTGAAGAATATCGTTCGTCCAATCAAAAGCCGTGTAAGGCATTTTTCCACACGTGAAAAACATCGTATGTCCAATCAAATTGCATGAAATTTATTTACACAGTGAAATATTTTTTTTTTTTCATCATTCTGCTGTGCATAAATCTCTATACACATATAATAAATTTGTCTATCACAAACTCAAAACGTTTTCAAACAAAATACGTATTATGAATTGTGTACAGTTTTGCTTATAAATGAAGTTAGCCCAAACTTAATATGCTCTTAAAAAATTTAACTGAACCTGTTCTGGTAGAATTAAGGTATATTAATTCAACTATACTCTAAAGAGCTAAGTGCTGCCGCTGGTTTCCATTTACGCGCGTGAAAGTTCACATTCTTTTGCATGTTATCCTTGAAAAAACCAAGTGAATAAATCGAAAGAAATTAGTTTTCTGCATATTTTGGTATACTTTTGTTGATCTAGATGTTATAATAGTAAAAATTTAGAAGATTTAAATTTTTCCGTTGCTGTACGTGCGTATAAAAAACGTGTGGTTGGAAAGGAGCCTTAACTATACAACTTATAGTCAGAAGACTAAGTTCAAGGCAACAGAGAAGATCAGGGCATCGTGCAGTTATAATGAGCTTCAAAGCGCAGCTGTAGTGTTCTAATTCATGAAGTGAGACGTATATGACACTCAAAACAATTAAATTCACTCACTTCACGCAGGGCTATTGATTATAATTTATAAATGATTTGCTTTCACGCAGGTGTAAACGAAGAGTGGAATAATTTTGAGGTATTAAAATAAGTCTATGAAACAAAACAAGTATTACACGTCATGGTTGCGATGACAACGACACTGCAGGAGTCATACAAATGGAATAACTCGTCCTCCAAATATATAGTCCTCGAAAGGCCTATTTTAGGCTTTTATAGATTGAACCTAAAAACCTGAGTTTATTTGCTTTCTTCCTATCAATTACTTAACTTTGAACATAGGCAGCCCAGACATGTTTTCGTTCTCGTGGCGCTCGCGCGTGTACACGAGTCTACTTGGTCTATTATTATGACATAATAATAGACCAAGTAGACTCGTGTACACGCGCGAGCGCCACGAGAACGAAAACATGTCTGGGCTGCCTATGCTTTGAGATAAAACTCATCTATCATTTGAATTTTCTAAACGTCTCAAAACTCGCAGTTGTGTTCATCGTTTAATTCGTATAATGCTATGAACGCTATAGAGTATAGTATATACGGTTTTGAAACATGGACTTCGTAAATTAAAGTGCATGGCTAATACTTTCTATTTCTATTTCTCTTCAACAACTATACTTGGTACTAAAGGCGGTTTTCCACTGTCGCGTTTTTTTAGCACGTACGTAGATGCACGTAAAAGTTTAAAGCCTTCTAAGAGGCTGTTTACATGAGCCCGGTTACTCGAGATTCAACGAAGCGTGAGGGGACTTTGAGGTATTGAAATAAGTCTTTATGACATCAAACAAGCACATGCTATTGTTGTGGTGATTATACGACTGCCAGGATCATGTTATCTGCTCATTTTAATACCTCAAAATCATCTCATGCTTCGTTGAATCTCGGGTAACCGGGCTCATGTAAACAGCCCTTAAGCTGTTATATAATTTATTTTGCATTCCAAATCTTCAACAAAACCCAACCCTATGCATCTATTCAATCTAGATTTTATAAGAATCATTTATATGGTAAGTTTAAACTTATACACGGGCCTATACGTGCGTGTACGTACGTGCAAAAACACACGACAGTGGAAAGCAGCCCTAATGCAGTGAACTCAAATAAGACTGGAACGCTAACTCTCTGACTTCCCCTCATTAATGAGTGAAGTCAAGATGGCGGACAATAAAGCCCATTCTTTTAGATATGATCCAGGCCTTTGGCGCGGGAATTTCAAATTTCCCGGTAAAATCATAATTGCCGCCATTTTACATACGAAGTTTCCACGTGGAAGCCTGGATCATACCATACCTACAAGATAGGCTTCATATTCCACCATCTTGGCTTGAAATTTCTCGCAGAGCTAGCACTCCAATGTAATTTTAGTTCACTGCCCTGATGTGCTGCAATCTACAGTAAACGTTGATTCTCGATCATAATTATGCAAATGAGATAACAAGCAATGATAAAAATTAAGGCTCCGGAGGGTTTTTCTTCTCTGCTCTTTTTATGATTTTCGGGTTGAGATGAAATCGCGGTTGGTGTCGGCTGAATGGATGATGACTTTCCTTTAACGGGTTCTTCATCTTTGACCATCGTTGTCATTGGAGTTGTCACAGTTACGTCTAGTGGAGCTGATGTCGTTTCTTCTTCACCAAGGTGACTGCTGAAATCTTCAAAGGACGAATAATTGACACTGGCCAGTGGTGCAAGATTTTTTGTTGGACTCATTGCAAAATAACTTTTTCCAGCCCTTGTAGGATCCGCTGTACCTGTCTTCAGTGGATGTGAGGTTGTGTTTAGGTTTTCACTGGCAGAAGAGATCACTGTCATTACGGGTGGTGTTGGTTGAATTAATGAGGTTTTTCCGTCACTTAACATTTCCAATTCAACACGTGAAGGCATTGCAATTGCATTGGTATATGTCGTGGTAATTTCCAACTGAACCCGGGATTTTTGAGATTGCCATTCATTTATATTGGCAGTTGTCCATCTGGAATTTGTAGGTGTCTTTGTAATGAAACTTTCCGCTGCTTCGCTCGAACCTAGACCCCAAGTTGAGCTTGTTAGCCTCGCATCAATAGCACCTTTCACTGTTCTTATACCTAAGGCTTTTCCTGACTTTGTTGTAATGCTACTTTCACTGGAGCCTAGTATAGTTTTCGTCATCCTCTGTTCAAAACTGGTCGTCGTTGGGGCATCTTCAATTGAATTTTTTACAGTCTCCGTAAGATCTAGTGTTGTACTGGTCTTTATCAGACTCTTTTCATCAGAGATTTCCACATTTTTCGTAACTAGGGCTGTACTGGTTGCTGTTGGCCTCTTTTTGATTGTTCTTTCCACAGTTCTAATACTTTGGTCTGACCTAGGCTTTGTTGATAGGCTATTCTCAATGGAGCTTTCTATAGTCTGTGCCAGATCTGGGGCTGTGTGGAACCCTGGGATCTTTTCAAAGGTACCTTCCACATTTCTCATATTTAGGGCTGTACTGCTCTTTGCTAGATTCTTTTCACTGGGGTTTCCCACAGTCCCTGTAGCTAGAGCTGTATTGGCCTTTGTCGAGCCTTCGCCAACAGTTCCCATACTTAGGATTGAGCTGGGTTTTGTGTATAGGCTATCTTTAATGGAGTTTCCATCCCCTATCGTAAGACTTGGCTCGGTACTGGTCCGTATTGGGCTCATTCTAATGGGATTTTCTGCAACACTCGCGAGTCCTAGTCCTGTAATGGTGTTTGTTATGCTTCTATCAGAGGAACGTTTCGCGGCTCTTGTCAATCTTGGTTTTGTGCTGCTCGTTATTTGGTTCTTTTTAATGTTACTTTCCAGATTTCTCAAAGTTGGGGCTGGTGGCGACTTTTTTGTACCCATTCCAATGGAGCTTCCAACAGCTCTTGTGGCCAGGGCTGAACTGGACTTTGCTGGGCGCTTTTCAATAAAACTTTCAAGAACTTTTGTCATCACTGGTCCTGTGCTGGTTTGTGTTTGGCGCTTTTCAATAAAACTTTCAAGAACTTTTGTCATCATTGTTCCTGTGCTGGTTTGTGTTTGGCGCTTTTCAATAAAACTTTCAAGAACTTTTGTCATCACTGGTCCTGTGCTGGCTTGTGTTTGGCGCTCTTCAATGAGACTCTTCACATCTCTGATCAGGCTTGGAACTGAATCAATGGAACAAGGGCAGCTTAACTTTAATTTTGTCGCAATAAAAATCATCTTCTTACTTTAACCATATGCATGAACATGCATGAATTAAGAGATACAGAATACCTGAAGATGTCTCAAATGCTCTGCTTATTCTTACTTCCTTTTCGTCTCCTGCCTGTGAATAATGATTTGGGTTAAAAATGATTTTTGCGACATCATACAACTTGTACAATGATTCGTACATATTGCTTGGATTGGATTGGTTACAATCGGTTTGAGCGTTACTGATTACTTAGATATTTCACCACAATTTCGAAACAAGGATAGGCAAAGGCCAAAAGTATATTTTCCGAGAAAGTATTTGTTGCAATTATTTCGGAATAAAAATAAAGGATCGTTTACTTACATCAGCAATTTCTAGCTCGCGAAACAACGTCCATTCTCCTTTCTTTGATGATTTTTCGTTTATACTTTTAGTGAAGTTGGTTAGTTGACAGTTTTCATTGTCGATGTTAGATCTGACGTTGAAGCCAACACATTTCTTTTCCGTTTTACAAAGGGAAAAACATCTTGCTGGTCCTATGGTGGCCGAACGACCTACACTGTGACTTGCTAAAATTTCTTCCGAAGGTAATGGCGGGCCCCCTGTTAATTGTAAAAGAATAATGTCGATTGCTTAGAATTTAAAACAAAGCCTTCAAAGACTTTTTTTACACGAACTTTTATCGCTACTTCGCATTTATAATTTCCAGATTCGCATTTATAAATGCGCTTTTTGAAGTCAGCATTATTAGGCTTTTTACTAAAAATTGGACTAGAATAATAAAAGTGGTGGGGTAAATAACCCGCTTCCTGATATTCAACAACGAAAATTTTGACTAGGGTAAGAAAAATCCTAGATCCACCCCTGTTCATCAGCTATATAACTGGGGAGCGTTCACCCGCTTCTCACTGATGGATTTTCTCCCCCCCCCTGCCATTGAGAGATATTTTTCCTTTGCAGAGCATTGGAATGTTAAACATGTCGAAACAAAATCCTTGATGACGTTTGTGTATGTGTTTGGTATAAAGGGAATATAAGATAGCCGCTACATTTGTCTGTCACAAACGTATAATGTACATATATAGTGCATATAAGCTATATGTCCCACTCAATCATGACAAAAGGTCCCTTTTATCATTTGCCTTTCCCCCACTAAGAAATCCTTAAAAATAGGCCCTGCATACTTGTGTAAACACACATACATAGTGTAAACTCTGTCGCAGTGTATACTGACATGGAGTACACTTTAGCCTGTACTAAAATATTTCATAACAAACGGTACCACAGACCATTTAAGACTGCTTCAGTGATCATTTTGAATCTTAATTATAAAGGAAATAGTTTTTTATCGTTTAATGCTTTCAATACTACTAGCAGTAGTGTATGAGTGTTTAGTGTTTACTTTTTGTTTAAAATAATTATATTAACTTTAGTGATATATATAACTCCATAGAAGATGATTAACACTGCGTGCGAGAAAGGTTATTTTGAAGTCAAGCTAAGCTAAGCATGTTGAGGGATAATCGTGGATTAACACTACATACGAGAAAGGCTATTTTGAAGCCATGACCCAGCTAAGCGTGTTGAGGGATAATTTAAGATTATCCCTCAACACGCTTAGCTAAGGCCATTAATGTACTTCAAAATAGCCTTTCTTGCATACTGTGTAATGAATTTCTATGGATTTATATCACTAAAGTTAATAAAATTATTTCAATCACAGAGTAACTAAACACTCACTACTAGTAGTACGTAGTGATAAAAGCATTAAACGATAAAAAACCTTTTGACTTTATAAACTTCGATGATAATCCCTCAACATGCTTATAGCTTGACCATTGACTTCAAAATGGCCTTTCTCTTATGCAGTATATTAATCGTGGATTAACACTGCATGCGAGAAAGGCTATTTTGAAGTCAATAGCCTTAGCTAAGCGTGTTGGGGGATAACCGCTGTGGAAAATAGGACTTTTTATAAGAATTAAAAGTGAAAATAATGTTGTATTAATCAAAATGCCAGGCATGAAGGAAACAATTGATCATGCATGCACTACCTCTAAATATGTACTTAAAAAATCCTTCCTTATACATGCAGAAATACGGTAACTGAGCTTCTTTCCTCCGTCTATATTTCGCGCGAGGCAAATTAAACATAAAAGCACTCACCGACATAGATGTGGCGATAAGCTTTTTTGAAACATTGATTTGCTTCACTGAGTCTTGAAATAGCTGACGTCAGCGAGATAAACGTAAAATATTTAAAAAACGATTTTCTACACAAAAAATACATCGTGTGGCTTTGACGGCAGTCGCTATAAAACTATAAGGATACACGGCTAAAGGAAGTAATTGCATGAATGTCGTCAGCAGGTGGATATAAAATGTCGTACCAGAATTATTAATGAATTAGGTCTGAGCTAAAAGAGATGGCTTCGCCTAATTCACTTTCAACAATAAATCCATTAAGGAATTTTATTTCTTTCGGTATTTTTTGACTTGTTTGAATTATTTGACAATTATTGACAATTATTGTTGTAGTGATAGAGTTATAGGGATGCAAACGTCTTTTTAATGGATGCGAATGGATATTTTTGACGAAATTTTGAACGATATGTCAATTTGGCTTCAACATTAATTGCGTCGTAAAATTGATAATGTTTGTATAACCGTTCTTGCGGTGAACTTTGATCCGTATAATTTCAACAAACGCTTCATTAATATATAGCTATCTATGTGTTGAATACCTCTCTTTGCAGGTGTTTCATTCTCTTTAATGGAAAAAAAACTGTCTTCCGAACCGCAAACTACAAATATACCGAGAAAATATAGTCTTCGTTAGTAGTTAAACAATATATAATACTTTATATTTAACAATTATTCGTCGAAGGCGAGGTGAATATCGCTGAAAACCTGGTTTTTATTTTCAGTAATCTTCACCGAGCCTGAGGCGAATAATTATTTTAGCATAATTACAAAAGTGATAATAAAGAAAAACTCAATTTATTGTAGAGAATACATTTTTTACAAGCGCAAACAATTGTCTTATAAAATGATGTTTCATCGCATAACGCCATGTCGTATAAGTATATTTATTTTTATAAATGTTATTCATCTCTACCAGCTAGAATCTGTTGAACCTCGTACCCAGGGCCTCTTCTCTGTGCTCACTCAGCGGGTGCCCCCCCCCAGAGTGAGCACAGAGAAAAGACCCTGGGCACGAGAAGAAGCATCTTATTTCTCTATTATATAAAATCTATTCTTGATGAAGTATATAGACGGAGTGGTTAATTTCAACTTATTTCTTCTTGCAATATTATTTTATTATTTTACATATTATTACTTTTTACTATACTATATAATCGGTTAACTTATTACTTCTTGACATTATATTAGGCTGCGGTTTAAATCTAAGATTAAGATTATAATTACTTTGAACCACTGCAATTCATAGCATACTTTTGCAAAGGAATCTATATCATATGATTCGATCAACCAAATTACGACTATTGAGTGAGTTGAAAGGGTACATATTTCAATTATACTTCTATGACCATGGTTAGCAGCATCCTTGACTAACCTACAACAAGCCGGTATAAAGCCCGTTTCAGACGACGTTTCAACAAATACTTTAGCTCATTAAAATTAGGTGCGGCACATGTAAAGTTTGACGTCTGAAACGGTCCTAAGTATTAGAGAATGTATATCCGATTGGAAATTAACCTAGGAATCACCTTATTTATCATGGCATTACTAACCTCATAGCATCCTAGATCACACTTAACGGATGTTTATCCTTTTGCTAAGTCAATGTATAAAACTGAAGCTGAGAAACATAAGGAAAGGTTTATTAACTTTATGCAAAATCATATATATCATATATATATATATATATATATATATATATATATATATATATATATATATATATATATATATATATATATATATATATATATATATATATATATATATATATAATAATCTTGGATTTGTGCGTAGTAAACCAGAGTGCTCAATACAAGTAAATAGTAGAGCAAAAACACAAACAAATCAACAAAATATAATCATAAAATTGTATTTCATCGCTACACTGTGTTTCACGTACTAGTTTTAGTACGATCCTCAGGCGATAACTATTTACAACGGTTTACGCACACGCGTTTTTGATTGATTACGCGAGAGTTTTAACGTGCATGTTTGCGTGCGCTTAACATTACAAACCTTAAAACCATATCTATGCCGGCATTTACTAAACAGTTCTGTCCTTTTGTTCAACGATTTGTTTTTGTCTGATAGCATGATTAATCTTTTTTCCTCGGTGCATAAATTGCAAACTTTCATTTCTGGACATGCGGCGGGAACTTGCTTCATCACTGACCATTTTATCCCAAATGGTTTATCTTGCGACTTGAGCCCCCAAACATACTTCGAGAGCTCCGTTTCTCCAGAGTAGCGTTCGTGGTTAAAAGACTTTAAGTGGTTGCTGTATCTGAGTTTGAAGCTACCTGATGTCATACCAATATAATGCTTGACAACTTCTCCATTATCCGAGCTAACTTCCGCTTTGTACACAATACTTTTCACGAGACAATTACCGTTCATTGGGCATTCCTCCTTAACTCTGCAGTTGCATGATTTCAAAGAACATTGGGAGTTGTTTTGATGTTTAAGGACTCTATGATTGTGGTTGGAGATTGAGGTTTTAACATTGTTCATACAAGAGTAACTCACTTTGACCGTGTTCCGGTTGAAAATTTTATGGAGAGGCGATGACTTTGGGAAATGCTTATCAATTAAGCGAAGGAACCTTTGTGCTACATTCGTTTTCACATTCTTACTATAAGGTGGATTATACCAGATTATGTTTCTTGATCGCGTTCTTCGCTTGGGGTTGTAGTTGTTTTCATCTTGTTGGTAACTTAAGGTGGTGTTGAAATGACTGTGTTTTAGAGCATCTTCGTAAAGCGGGGCAGCTAAATCAAAACTGGTTTTGTTCGACGAAAGTGAGGATATACGTTTGTTGATCGATTTGGGAAGTTGTCTGATTATGGATGGTGGATGGTTAGACCTGCTGTCGATGTAAACTGGGTCATTATTAGGTTTTCGGTAAGGGGAGAACTGATTATCTTTCAGGTTTAAGGTGACATCAAGAAAGTTGACTGATTGATGGCAAATATCGACGGTGATTTTTAACCCGAACTGCTCAAAGATGCGGTGAAAGATATTGGTATGACATCAGGTAGCTTCAAACTCAGATACAGCAACCACTTAAAGTCTTTTAACCACGAACGCTACTCTGGAGAAACGGAGCTCTCGAAGTATGTTTGGGGGCTCAAGTCGCAAGATAAACCATTTGGGATAAAATGGTCAGTGATGAAGCAAGTTCCCGCCGCATGTCCAGAAATGAAAGTTTGCAATTTATGCACCGAGGAAAAAAGATTAATCATGCTATCAGACAAAAACAAATCGTTGAACAAAAGGACAGAACTGTTTAGTAAATGCCGGCATAGATATGGTTTTAAGGTTTGTAATGTTAAGCGCACGCAAACATGCACGTTAAAACTCTCGCGTAATCAATCAAAAACGCGTGTGCGTA